TATAATTGACTGCATATCCAATTAGATAGCCATAAATTTCTCCTATTAGTGTGATTGAAGGATTATGTACACTGTTGTGTCAGTGTGATGAGGGGCTTGCAGACCCATCAGTGCCAACACTGATTTATTGTGTAACTCTCAAAAAGAGACAGGGACAGGTACAGCAATTCTGACATTTGGCCTGTTCCCATAGGATCCAGCTTTTTCTCTCTTCCTATGTCTGCATTACACCAAACAGTATACTATTTATTTATTTGAGTAATAATGCTGATTTTGTTTGAGTATTGTGTTCAGATATTGATATTTTTTAAAAAGAAAGTGAACAATGTGTATATATAATGACATAGAAATAGAAACAGAAATTTAGTCAATATATTGCTGTGATCGCCAAACAAACACATTTTGCACTGGTAAGTAAAGTTAAATGTTATTTGTTTTGCATTAGTAACACATTGCATACATGCCCAGTACAATTTAATTTGTAAAATGTTAAAAGTTTGCCAACTCTAGGAAAGTTTTTTTTTCCCCCTCAAAGGCATTGTTGTTTTTGTATTTGGCTGCTTTTGCTTTTCATATAGCCTGCTGTAATTTATTACATTGCTAAATTTAATGTGTGAATTTGTGCATACTGCAAATTTCTATGCAAATATGATGCACACGATGCCTTTCGGTGAAAATTATATGCTCTGCACTGTCACGTAAAGCGTATATGAGTGAAACATGACGGCATTCTATCCATGGATGAAGTGATGCGTGTCCACAGCAAAGACAGCAGGGAGCTTTCTCATAATAGTAGTAGCGGTGTGCGGCTCTCGGTGTCACAAATGGCTATGAGACGCTGTTGGCTACTGGGGTTCTTTAACAGCTCTGTGGGAGGTCTGAGATTCTGTGTAGGCACAGGTACAGCACTCGGCTTCAAATACCTTTCCCTGTGGGATGAATACTGTGTGCACGATTGTCACTTTAAACATTATACAACTGCTATATTCGTGCTTATATATTTGTGTACATAGTGTCTATAGGCATGTGGATTTGGTGGTAAGGGGTAATATGTTTTTCCTTGTTGAAACATTGTTGTAAATGTCAGCAGAAGAACACTACTCCCATGGCTTTCACAATAAAAAGCAAGCGGGGGTAATGTGCGGCACTCTGTATAATCACAGCTGTGTACTGAGTATTGATTACTACACTTGTCAGGCAACAAAAAGCTGCAGTTTTCATATGTGCTTTTTGATGTTTGTATCATCAGACACATGTGTAAACTATGTGAATCCCTAGCTGTAAGTCCAAACTGATTTGCCAGTAATTTAAAAAGCATGCATCTAAATCCATTCACCTCAGCAGTTGTGCGTTATTGCTCAGCGAAACTCGAAGAGAATAGAACATGCTGGTTTAGAAATTGGAGGTCTTCATCTCGTTATCCAATTATCAGTAACTGCTTTGACAAAAACAGCAGGATCTTTCATTTAATGTTTGCCCTTTTATTGCAAAGTCATCTTGAATTGAACTAAAAACAGTGCATATTCACATATTCTTTGTGACTACGGCGGTATTAGCTCCTCTGGTGCTCTTTTCTCCATGTTTCACCATTAGGTTTTGTCTGTTGATAGCTTTATCTATCTAGGATCTATCTTTTCTTTCTTAGAGGGCTTTTGGAAGACCAGATCAATGCTGATGTCTAATTAGCGAGCAGGAAAAAAAATCGCTGCTCAGACAGGGAAAAGGTGCCAGAATATCTCCTAAAGTTCATTCCTCCTGCTTTATTCAAACCCCTACTTGTTATAATTTTTACCAGACTTTGACTCAATAAATATAAAATTGCCATTATCACAAAACGGTTTCCCTTTGTAGACTAGCGACATATATGAGTGTTAAATTTTGAATGTAACCACTGTGCTAACTCCATTTATGGTCTGTAAGCAGAAAACCATCAGGTACAAGGGTCTAATGTGATGTAGTGTTTAGTTTTAACACAGTCCTTATAGACTAGGCAACAACGTGAAAATGCATTACCTGTGTTTAAGTTAAATATATCTGCAATTTTATTGGGTCTCATAAGAAACAGCTCTGATTGCACTCTTACTATCATTGTTGACCATCTACCTATATTAATTCAGCATCAAGGTATAATTTGATATGTATTACTTGTAGCATTTAAAGTGTACACAAAGATTGTGGGCAAATAAAATTAAGGGTGACTGTTTTAAAGGAAACATCCAAACATCTTTGGCTATCCAAACACCCAGTTTTGTAGAATGGGTTTGTAGCCTCACCTAGTGGATATGAATAGGAATATCAGCTACCTTCTCAAATTTTATTCTTTCTGCCACTCTTTTCTTTTACACTTGTCTATTTTCCCTTTTGTGCCCCTTTCCCCTCTTCTCTATGTCCCTTCCTACCTCCCTTTACTATCTTTCTCTTTAGAATATGCCAGAACATAACAATGAGCTCCAACAGCACAGATCCTGGTCTTTTCCTGACTGCCAGCACTCTACCACCATTGGCTGCAGCCTACTCACAGTCCAATGCACCCTATCAAGGAGGAACTGGAGGAACGCCCGTGGTTTATCATGCTATGGATGATAATTCCTCTTCTATCAGCAAGCTCTTAAACTCCACATTAGAACCCCAAAATGGGACTGCAACGGCAGCCCCTGATCCCTTGGGTGGCCACGCTGTGTGGCAGGTTGTCCTCATTGTCTTATTGACTGGCATGCTGTCACTGGTCACGGTCATTGGGAACATCCTGGTAGTAGTATCCTTCAAGGTTAATCGCCAACTAAAGACAGTCAACAACTATTTCCTGTTGAGCTTAGCTGTGGCTGACCTCATCATAGGGGTCATCTCCATGAACCTCTACACAGCTTATCTTGTGATGGGCTACTGGGCCATGGGCAACTGGGCATGCGACTTGTGGCTGGCTATAGACTACGTGGCAAGCAATGCATCTGTTATGAACCTACTGGTCATCAGCTTTGACCGCTACTTTTCAATTACTAGACCTTTGACCTACCGGGCCAAACGGACCACAAGGCGAGCTGGGATCATGATAGGCTTAGCCTGGTTTGTTTCTCTTGTCCTGTGGGCTCCGGCCATCCTGCTATGGCAGTTTCTTGAGGGTAAAAGGACAGTGCCCTCAGGGGAATGCTACATTCAGTTCCTTTCACAGCCTATTATAACCTTCTGCACAGCCATGGCGGCATTCTACCTACCTGTGACAATAATGAGTGTTCTCTACTGGCGCATTTACAAGGAGACCCAGAATCGTTCAAAAGAGCTAGCTGGGTTGCAGGGCTCGGGTGGAATAGGAGCAAGAGGTGTAAACGGTGGGGGCGAAAGAGCCCGTTTTGTCCATCAGACAGGAAGTTCTAGAAGCTGCAGCAGCTATGAGTTGACCAGGCTCTCTAGGAGAAAGAGCACATGTCGGGAACTGGTAGGCCGCTTCCACTGCTGGCCCGGTGTTCGCTCTTGGAGACCTGGTAGTATGCGACAGGGAGATGGTGATCCAGATCAGAGTAGCAGTGACAGCTGGAACAACAATGATGCTGCAGTCTCTTTGGACCAGTCTGGGTCTTCAGAAGATGAGGACTGTGGAGGTAGAGATATGATTCCACAAAGTCATGCTATTTTCTCCATTGTTCTTAGCCTTCCTGGCATAAAAGCTGCTGTTAACTCCCAGCTAACCTCATGTGAGGATCTGGATGGAGCCTCAGAGGAGGATCCCCTTAGAGCAGCGGAGTATAATCGAGACAGTCTTTCATCAGTAGCTCCAAACACAATAGCCACTGTTACTCCGGAAGGGCAAAACAGTTCAGAAAATAGCTACCACCAACGCTTCTGCTCACGCAAGATTCAATCATTGTCTTCCATCCAGGCTACTTCTAACCATAGGTCTCTGGATGGTACCCCAGTAACCACTACCACTGCCTCTGACAGTACTACTACCAGCACAACCACCAAGTCCCCCTCAGGTCCAATGTCCTTCAAGGAGGCAGCTCTGGCAAAGCGTTTCGCTGCCCGAGCCCGGACTCAGATCACCAAAAGGAAGCGGATGTCCTTGGTAAAAGAGAAGAAGGCAGCTCAAACTCTCAGTGCCATCCTCTTTGCATTCATCATCACATGGACACCTTACAACATCATGGTGCTCATCAATGCTTTCTGTAAAACTTGCATCCCAGAAACTCTGTGGGCAGTAGGTTACTGGCTATGCTACGTCAACAGCACAGTCAACCCCATGTGTTACGCCCTGTGCAACAAGACTTTTCGTACAACATTTAAGATGATACTGTTGTGCCGCTGGGACCAGAAAAAAAGGAGGAAGCAGCAGTTTCAGCAAAGGCATTCTTCAGTGGTCTTTCACAGGAGAATTCCCAGGGAGTCTACGTAAAGGACGGAAAGTTAAGATTGCTTGTAACAGAAATCAAAAATGTAACACAGAAAGAAAAGAAAGAAACATACATTTAATTGTTTCTGTGGAGTTTCTTTATCTAGAGATCTTTAATGTTTTATTCTGCTATGTCAAACACAGCAACCCGATGTGGTGGTTTTGCAGTATGTGCTTGTGTTGGTGCATCCATTAAGCAAAGCCGTATATGTGTGTGAAGGTTTGCGTAAGGTGAGGTTCAGACATGAAGGTTGTGACTGTCCTTGAAGAACTTTTTATCATTTCATGCAAGTACAGCAGCAAGAAAGTGAAGTGAGTGGACAATACTCGAAAAGGGCTTAAAAAACAAATTGCAGGAGAAATACTGAAGTGCAATTGATGCAAATAGAGAGGATGTTGTCACAGAGTTGGGGATTACACTTTTCTGATCATTTCTCTCTGTGGGTAGTTTGCTCTGTAACATTCAGAGTGGTTTTGCATTTTAAATAAAACTATATATATATATATTAAAAAAATGTTCACAGGCTTCTACATTTTATTAATTTGCCCAGCCATCTTTTTGACTGGTATGCAGTTTTATTAAAGGTTCGGCACATTGCGTTTCTACATGTGCTCCTTTGTCAGTGTCTTTAATGAAATATAAAAAGTTCTTAAATTTTGTCCATGCAGTCGACAGAAAACTGTTATTTTTGTGATTTTGGTTTTTGGTTTTCTAGAGATTTTGAGCCAGTCTGAAAATGATCCTTTTGACGAACTGAGTTGTGAATATTTTGTGTGGCACCACAGTCAGTGAACTGCTGTTGTGTTCAATGTGATTGTTGTGGTTTGTATGGTGGAGATAATAAGTACAATGGTTGTGTTTTATGTACTTGCAATTTTCTGTCAAGTAATGATTATACAGTAATTATATTCCGTTTGTGTACATTTGGATATTTCTGAATATGATACACAAAGATTGCACACACACAAACACACTCACACACAAATATGTCCATTTGTTTAAAAAAGTGTGTTTTGATCTTACGTTATCTTTTGAATTTCCACAAAATTTCACATCTAACAACTCTTTTGTAAAAGGATGGCAATCTTTGATATAGTGGAACAATGGCGACCTCTAGTGGTGTACAAAAAGATCTGTTGCTCAGGCTGTTAACAGTTTAACTTCCACACTGCAGTATCAAAATCTGAAATATATATATATATATATATAATTCAATCTAAGAAAATTTATCTAAATTTTAAATGAAAACAGGTGACAAATTCAAGAAAAACTACACTGAGGTGTTTAGATTCACTTGTACTTTAGAGGGAAGGTTCAATGCGGAGCAGTATAAAGTTGTTCTGAGTACAAATAATCATCATAAAATAATTTTAATATGGTAAAAAGAAATGTGCTACAACAACTAGCATACAAATTAATGGCTAGATCGTATTATATTGGAAATGATGACATGACTTTGGCTTATTTGCTGTATGCAAAGAAATGTTTAAAAAAAATCCTGTACCTGCTATCGGTGAATATTTCATTCGTTTTCTGCACAATGCTATAATACAGAAAGCTACTTTTGGCTGCTCCCTTATTCACAAGGGGTCACCACAAGGGGTGGCTCTTTGTATTTGATCTGGTAGATTTTTATGCTGAATGCCCTTTCTGATGCAGGCCCTGAGGAATTTGTATCTTCTCCCAGAAACAAACTGGGGATCTTTTGCTTATTAGTGTAAACCACTACAGTGTGGAGCCACGGTACAGGGTCAGAATACATTCTTCATCGATAAATGAGGGATTTTTTATACTGTATTGGGAATGTAAACTGCCAACATTGTGAACACAACAGTTTGTTACATTTTAAGTATGCCAATCATACTCATATTTTAAGCCAATAAAAAATAAAAAACCTTTTGTCTATAATTACTTTATTTGTTTTGATTTTTTGTCTTTTTGCCACTGTGTAATTTAGGGTGTTTCACCTTTGTTACATAGAATAGTTTCACTTAAAATGAATCATTTGTTGAGTGTTGCTCTGCCTCACATTCATATTTAACACATTTTCAATAATGCAGTTTCTTAACATCCAACCAGATCAGTTTAAAGCAATATATAATGTGGGTTGCATGAATTTATCCATAATATTCTGTAATCAGAGCTAAAAAAATAAATAAAATACAGTTACAATATAATTGGTGCTATAATACTATAATCACTAGCCACTACATTAGGGACATCTGCTTGGTAATGCAAAGATCAAGTCAGCCAACTCTGTGCATTTAAAGATGTTAAAGATGACCCGCTAAAGCTCAAACTGAGCAACAGAATGGGGAAGAAAGGTAACTAAAGGGACTTCATGGTTGTTGGTGCCAGATTGGTGGGTTTGAGTATTTGATCCAGATCCAGGTTTGATCCAGGGATTTTCACACACAAGCATCTGTTGGAGTTGGAGGTGAATGGTCCAAAAAAAAAATGATGACATCCAGTGACCAGCAGTTCTCTAAGTGACAATAACGTATTTTTGTCAGAGGTAAGAGAAGAATGCCCAGAATACTTATAGCTGACAGGAATGCAACAGAAACTCAATTCACCTCTCATTAGAACCAAGGTATCCAGAAAAGAATATCTGAATGCACATCAAACTCAAAAGACAACTCCTCTCAACTAAGAACAGGAAATTGACGCTACAATTTGTAAGACCTCACCAAAATTAGCCAAAATAGAATATTGTAAGACTGTCACCTGGTCTGATGAACCTCGATTGCAGTTGCAACATTTGGATGACCTGGTCAGATTTTGGATTAGCCCTGCCTGTTATCAGCAGTTCAGCTGCTGACTATGTCCATCTTTTTATGGCCACTCAATTTCAGACTGGCTTCTTGAAGATGACAATGACTTCACTGTACTCAAATGCCCTGCACAGTCACAAGATGTGATTCCAAGATGTGAGCACCTTTGGGATTTGGTGGAACAGTACAGTTCATATCATAGACAAGAAATCTGCAGGAACTGTGCAATGCTGTCATGTCATGCCAACCTGGTAGTTGAAAATATCCAGTTTATTTTTTCCCTTTTAACCAACAAAATTTCCACAAGTTGTAGAGCACAGCCTTACCAATGAACAGTCATTTTGTTGTATTTTTCCCAACAAACGTTGCTACAATCTGTATGCTATCATGTCTAAGTATTTGAACATTTTGTTTTTATATGGCCACTGTCATTTGTTTAGGTTGATTAGGTTTATTCCTTGCTATTTTAAACTTCAGATGACCTTAAATAAAATGTTTTGTAGCATTCCTCAATACTTAAAAATGTCCAGAAAACTGAATAAAACAGCTACTCTCAATGAGGAAGTGGATGGCATAACCCTCGGCTGCCTGTTTAGTGCAGGAAGGGACTTAAACGACAAGCAAGATGGAATGTGAGTACCTCCCTGGATATGTAGTCAAGCTAAAGTGGCACTGCTCAGAAAAGTTTGGTTACTAATCCCAACAAGTATGACCAAAAGTGAAAGCTCAAAGAAGCAGACAGGGTTTAGAGAGTCTGTGAAAATTCCTGGTATTACTCTTGAACCCTGCAAAAAAGTTTGTAGCATAGAATGAAGAAATACTGTTATATAACTTTTTTTTTTTTTTTGCTCCAACTTGTAAGTAAAACTGCATCAAATCAATAATTTCTTTTCTTTTTTAGAAGTAACATTTTGACAGCTGTACATCCCTACAGACATGGCACTGAGTTAACGTTTGTACGAACTATCTGGCACATTTTTGGCTTTCTGTGGATCTGATGCAAAAGTGGAATATGTGTGTTCTTTTATCTTTTGAGGCAGAATTATACGCAGCGATTTTGAGAGTTTTATTCCTCTACCAACCCTAGAAAATGTATTTATATTATTCTGTATTTAGCTCTAATCTTCCAGTTTTTTAAAACTCAATTATAATATTAATTATTTGTTATCATAGGAAACATGTTGTCTCAGTTAGGATTGAGGTCACTGACCTGTCTGGTAACAGCTTATGTAGGGAGAAAACAGCTGAAGCTCATTTGCTAAATGAGGGCATAGACTTAAAAGTGGCACCACAGTGCATCAGCCAAGACTAACAGCTACTGATTGACTCAACTGAATGTGTGTTTTTGTTCTAATTTGCTATTAAAATGGAGTCTTGTATTGCTGTCTGAAATGAAGTTGAGATTAGCACTGAGTGTCTAACTTCAGGTTTATTTTAATATAATAGTGTTATTTAACTGTTACATAGCTGTGTGTTTCCATCATGAGTCCTGATGAAGTTAGTAAGGAGAGTCTCCACAGAGCTAATGAGAGATGGCCACAGTGACTAGACATGTGATGAGGAAAATACAGACTTCATGTGACCCATGGCTAAGGAGCGGCTCATAGAAGAAGACAAACACCCATTTGTGTTGTTTTCTTCAGTCAGTACTAAACCACCAAGGAGAATCCACCAGTCAGGCAAGTATGACATCTTTCATATTTGAAAATCTTTATAAAAGTCACAGCATTTATCTTGTTTTTTCATTTTACACCGTTTCATTTTGCCTAAACGGAATGTTGTAAATTGAAACCTTGTTCTAATTTTTATCTTTTATGGTTAGAAAAGGGATCTTTATAATTGGTGCTAGAAGGATAAATGTTAAATTTACTACACATAGAGGTTAATCAGTCTTCAGGCATGTGTCGATACAAGCTAATGAACAAACAAGAAGAATCCATTTGGAAATAAAAATGTGGACACAACAACTTGCCTGTAACTGCACAGGCAATATTTCTCACCAATCAATCATAAGCTTGTAAGTTGTGGACAAACCACCATATACCTACACTTTGACTTAATCCATAATAAGTGTCTGATTTTAATTTATTTTCTTGATCGGTAGATGTGGGGGGTTTTTTTTTAGCCATACACTGCCAAAAAGTGACAAAAAAATCCAACACCAATGCATTCAGTTAAACAGTAAATATTTGGATTTGAGAAAGCTAAAATCATAATCTTTTCACCAGATATTCTCCAACATGTTTTAGATAATTTCCCGTAACTCGGCAGCCACATTAAACTGACTCTTTGATTAACTACTTCCACTGGGATGCGCAGTATGACATGAGTATTTAGCTGTTTGTTATACAGTATATCTGTGTGTGGGGAAAATTGGAGATCTCGAGTGACCTGTCTGATCTACAATACTGTGCAAAAGTCTTGAGAGCCCACATTTCTCTATGTTTTGCTAGGAAGATGATAAATTCATGCAGCAATTAAAAATTGATAAGTCAAAAACCAGAGACTGCCTAACAAGCTTGAAAATGAATATTTGGTCTGATTTTTATTCTTCAATGAAGTCTGAGCTGTCTTAGGCAAGCCTTCTTTTAATTGATCCAAGTTAGGTGTGTTTGAAGGATTGATAAGTTGTTGTAAAGTGGCTTAACAGAGTAAAAACACATTCATCTTAAAATGGTCAGGTAAAATTACTGGACTGAAAACGAGTGAAAAAGCAACCAATACCCTATGAAAGACCTTCAGAAAGAACTGTTGCTCAAGAACACTTTGAAAAATTCTAAGAGAGTCTGATTCATTGAAAGCAAAATCAAAAGAAATGAGTTGTGGTTCAAGACTTTTGCACAGTATTGTAGTTGTATGTCCATGACGGTTCTCAGTCATCCAGATCATGGTAATCTAAGGAGCCTGGAAAGAAAAAAAAGACTAGGCTTCTTTACATTTCTTGAAGATGACAAATCTGGGACTCCACTGATTGGTCTTAGAACTGAAGAAGCTCCTCAGACGAGAGGTGAAACATCTTCAAGAAACTTAACGAATTCTAGTTGCTTTTTTCGCCCCAAGCTCCTTAGATTATCATAGCTGTACCTTGAAATGGAAATTAGAGAAAATAATTGAGGTGATTATATACAAAATTGTCAGCATCTCATGAAAACAATAGACTTAAGTTGTATCTGTTCAACTTGGATGTTCACTGCCCTTTGATTTGTTCAGTCAAAATGACCCAGTGATGCTTCAATCATGTTGAGGTTCAGGATCTAGGGAGGTCAGTCCATGACTAGTAATAGTCCACTGTTTTGTTTTGTTTTTATGTTTACTTGTTTTGTTGTTGTTGTTGTTGTTGTTGTTGTTGTTTGTTTGTTTTTTAATCTAGGCAGGCCTTTACTGCATTGGTGGTGTGTTTGGCATAATTTTCAGGCTGAAAAATTAAGCTGTTGCCAATCAGGCATTATGACTCATCTCAGAGCATATTGCCTCTCTTTTGCTATTTTTAAGCTAAGCGTAAATATACAGTAAATCAGTGTGAACTTGTTCTTCTCCCTTTGTAGACAGGCGTTCTCTTGGATGAAACCAAAGCGAGCAGGATGCAAACCATAAAGACGGTGGAGACCCAAGTCCCCTTTCTAAAAGAGAGTTTCTTCACTACCACGTTCAAAGGCCGGCGGAAGAGCAGTGTTACCAATATCCTCCGTAAACAGCAACACTCTCTTCTTAATCAACAGCAGTGTATTTTAGAGCATCAGCCACACAGTCCTAAGCTCTTTCATTCTCCTCCAGTTGAAAATGGACCGGGGCAGCAAACCCCCCAGCATCACCGACTTGCTCGCTCAACCAGCAGCCCGTTATGCAAGGCAGCTGAGAATGCAGAAGCAGATGGGGATCGAAAGGAGGAGCAAAAAGAGAGAAAGGCTCAGAATGTGAGAGAGGCTGAGCTGGAAAGGGGGGGAGAGGGAGCAGTGAGTGGTAGTGAGCCCGTGGCTGTCACTGCCAGTCTCCTCCTCCTTTCATCATCAGCCTCAGCAGTGCTGGGGGAGCCAGCATCATCCTCACAGCTGCCGTTAACTGTGGTGGGCAGACAGCAGGGATTAGCTGGCTCTGAAAGGGCTCTGACCAACAGAGGACCGGCGGCAGCAGAAGCTCATGAGGAAGCCGAGCATGCCCAATCTCGACCCCAGCATCATGGCCTATTAGCCAAAGGTGTTCGTCTACTCAGGAACATGGGGAACCAGGAAGCAAAGCAGAAGAAAGGAGGAGCCAGCGGTGGACCAACAGGGGATGTTTCTTGTGATGGTGAGGCAGAGGAGCGAGAAGTGGACAAAAAATCAAAAAAGTCCTACAATAAAACAAATAAAGGAGCAGGAGAACATGGTGGTAAGAAGAAATCAAAGTCTGAGTCAAAGGGTTCTGTGTTTTCTGGAATGAAGATCAGGAAGAGTTTATCCAAGGTGAAAGGGTTGTCTAAGGATGATATGTTGGAAGATGGGAGATCAGCACATGTTGGCAAAGCAGGGGTTGAGTCTGGTGCAGAGAAAAGCCTGTCAGCTGATGAGATGGGCATGCTGTCAGATGTTGAGGGGGATCTAACCCATTTAACTGCAGACAGCCACGAATCTATGGGCGATGAGACTGGCCGGAAGACAAGTTCAGGGTCAGATGCTGAACTCTACAGTTTTCACTCAGCAACTGAAAGTGAAGACCTGCTCTCTGATATCCAGCAGGCCATGAGAGACCAAGGTGTTGCCAGTGAAATTGTTACCAGACACTTATCTGAAGTGTCTGGTAACAATATGTCAACTTTGGAGGGGAGCAAAGTTCCTGAGACTGGAATATCTCACCAACTATTTAATCTGGATGAAGACTGTTTCTCCCCACCTCTTGTTAGTGAAAGTGTACCTCAAGAACTGAATGATAAGTGTAAGAGACTGGAGAATGAAAGAAGTGACATATCTATATCAAGAATTTCATCTGGTCCAGGGTCTCTGAGTGAGAGTGGTCCTTCATCTTCTGCTCCAGACACAGAGAGAAGCAGTGGCAGCCTTTTTCCAAAAACTAACAGCACTTATAGCTTTCAAGACACTACAGCCACCACCACCTCATATGAAAGTGCTGAGGAGCCCCAGGATGAACTGGAGAGCCTGTTTTTGACTCCACATCAGGGTCAAGGTAGTCAGGCTGTACTTGGCAAAAACACATCATGTGACCATTTAGATTCCATAATGGTAGGGACAGGGCCAACTGGTACTCAAAAAAGTGCAAGCAGCATGGACCTGTCTGTTGAGAGGGAGGATGAAGAAAGTGGTGGGCGGGACTTTCTGTCTCTAGAAAGGAGAAAAAATAGTCTGTCTATTAGCCACCTGATAATAGACAGTCCCCCTGTTTTTCAGCCTAGACGAAGATCATCCAACTCCCCTTCCACTGTCAAATTCTACCCACCTGTCCACCCTTCCTATATTAAGACCACCACCAGGCAGCTCACCTCTCCAGTTGGCTCCCCCATTACCAGCCCTCACGTGCCTCGGAAAACAGATCCCATCAGTGGATCACTGGAATCCAACAAGGTCCAAGGGTTTAGGAGACGCAAGCAGAGGTCCTGCTCCATAGCTGGGCCGCACAGTGTGTCTGCAGACTGGTCGTCTGAGGTTGATGAGCTTAGTGGAAGACATGATGATGGGGCCAAATTTCCAGATCAGGAGACCACAGAGAAGAGTTACACAGGTGGGACTTACTGGACGCTGGGCTCTAGGAGAGCACACTATGGAAAGCAGACGTCTGCTGCTCCAGTACCCTACCTGGATGTCTTCTCTGGTGAGTGATATATTAAACAACTGAAGTGAGCAATCAAAACAGGTTTAAAAAAAAAAACTTTAAAAGAAGGTAAAGAGAGAATAATAACCTTCCTCCCAAAACATAGGTGGCAATTTAGTGTAGCTGTCTTCTCTTTTAAATGCCCCATAATCTATTAGCCTCACTGCACTCATTCTGAATGGCATTTCTCAGAGAGACCTGTGTGAAAGTGAGCTACAAGACAATTTGATTAATGTCAGTTTTTTTTGTTTGCATCTACAATCGAAATCAATGCCACAAAGGGATGAACTACATGTTTTGCAATACAAAAAAAAGTAAAGAAAAACATAGAGAAAAACACAGAATATCAGTAGCTTGACTTTTTAATTCTATTCGTTTTGTGATTATTCTGCTATCACATTAGCACCAAAGTATCAGGAAGACAATAATGAAGCATTTCATTTAAATATTTTAGTTATTTCATAATTTATTCCTACTGAAGAAGTCGTAATGGATTGGATGTCACTCCTATTTGTTTGGCTCATACCCTATTGGAGATTAGGCCATTACACAACCAATGATTATAGTAATTGCCTAGTAAGTTTAATTACTTACAAATTGCACTTTATATAAGTAAGTACACTAGAAATACTAAGGTTATTATTTTAAAATACAATACTTAATGAAAACCATAATAAAACCATGGGGTGTCTTTGAGATGCGTTGTCTCACTCTAATAAAACAATGCCACTCTGTCCTCCTTACTATTGTGGAGCCTTTCAAGAGCTTAGCTGTTGTCTCCTGTCTTTGCCTGTGCTCGTAAATCAGAGGACCGAATGACAATGCTGCCACCCACCCACGGCTATGTCATCCTCTGATTCCACTGGCTTAGATAAGAAGCACACGCATACACAAACACAGTGGATGTTAAACTCATGTGACAGTTTTTCTGCAAGACAAAAATAAGTCATGATGTTAAATCAATTTCTGTTTGCGTCAGGTAAACTCGCTCCAAACAACAGAAGTACATAATGATCTGAATCCATATAAAATGAACATTTTTGTGTCTGTGTGGCACTTTTTTGTCCCGTTTATGCTCACAAAGACTCAGTCTCTAACTAGTTTACCATTGCATGTGATACCAATCAGTGCAGCGAGGTTTACAGGTCACATGTACCCTTAAGGAGGAGTGGAAGCAATGAGAACAAAGATGGGAAACCACAGAAAACTCCAGCTTAATGTTTGAACAAGTGACGACAAATTCCCACTGACGGATAAAAACAAATCTACAGGAGCATGAGTCATGTCATGGCTTTTAATTAATTTGACACTGTCCCCTGTATCACATGGTTAAAAGAAATCACCCTGTTTTAGAATTGGTCTTCCTGCTGTAGCTGTGTGTTGTTTTGGGCTCAACAGTCCTCTGCTGTCACATTGTTGATATCCCCCACCACCCTTCAAACTCCACATAATTCCTGACATTAATTTCATTTTCAAGAAAATATGTTATTCCTTATGAAGTATAGAGATTTTGATACATTACTACATTTCTCACAGGTCAAACTTACTTTACAAACATGCGGACAGCCTACTTTATTTTCTGTATTTTATTCAAGAAGTAGAATTTATACATTTTGTAACCATGCTGTCGGCTTTAGTCCACCTTTTAGATTTTTTTTTTCAAGCTATTCCAAAACTTTTCTTTTTCTGCAATTTGATAGTTCTTTGCACTTCACAATCAGCACCACCTCTCTTTTCACCCACGTGTAAATGGTGTGAATAGAGTTTACAAGTGTAGGTGTTTAATTATCACATCCTAAAATGAAAAATGTCTTTTACATTCTTTGGTCAGACTGACATGAGGTGTCTAACTACACAATTTTTCTCAACTTACCAAATATATATCTAAAAATAAATTTTAAAAATGTGTCTGTTCAAATTCATCTGAGCATCCTCCTCTAGTCTTGAAAATGGAGCTCTGTATCCCTCTGTTTTGTTCTTGCAGTGTCTGTCTTTTCTTTTCTCAGGTCGCGCTCTTTTGGACAGGCTGTGTATGCATCAAGGAGATGGGTCCTCTGAAGAGGATGTGAAAGAACTGTGTCAACGAATGCTTGTCCAGGGTCTCCTGCACCCCTTCAGCAACGGGCGTGCAGAGCTCCTTGGTGACAGTACTGTGTCACCAGTTTTTAATGTAAGACCTTTCTCTTCACTTACACTTAGTACTTATTCTAAAAGCTGACCACATATTCAGGGGTAGGTTCATTTTTAAACAAATATATAGTTTAGCTTTAAAACACTTTACACTTTAAAATGCTTGATCCACATTAGAATAGCTCTAAAATAATTAGACTTAGGGTTTTTGTGGGGATGGAAGTAACCCCTCAAAGCTGGGCAGCTGTGTTTCATATTTCTAACTTTTCTACTTTCATAACAAACCACTGTCTAAAGATAGTATAACATGGGCTGGGATGCATATAAAAAGCATGTGTTAATGAGATAAATCACTGAGTTACTCTTATGTGCAGTAGAGAGAATGAATGCAGAGTGTGTGTTTCTGTATTTATTGTCTGACTATGATTCATCTGAGAGATTTCATTACCTGAAGAGCAGTGGTGTATGTAGAGAGGGTGACTATGCGGAAGTTGATTTCATGAATCTTTTATTTTCCACTCCAGTAAAGCTTTGCTCAGACCTAATTGCACATGCCTGCAGATTTTATCACAGCTACTGCTGGAGCCATTTCTGTCATGACTCCTTGCAGCTCCTTGCATGCAAATTAAGCTGTAAAATACGTGTAACTTGATGTACAATTTAAACTGCAACATATTTATCAACACATCAGCTCTTTGAAAATATAGGCCTGTTCAGTGTCTTTATGTTGCTACAAAATGACAATCATAAAATAAGTCATCAAGTCATCCACTGATAAACACTCTGATGACTTAAAAAGAAAAAGATTTTTTTAAACCTCGCTAACTGTGCAGCTTCATGGATATCACATTGAGTTGTTCAGCATAATGTATACAGACATTTATGCCTCAGTCTTATGTCATGGCAGGGAATGAACTCCACTGGCTTTGCTGAGCCTCTAGTGACGCCATGAGGTTGGCTCTTTCAGTGACATTTCCCAACAACCAGTGGATGGATTGCTGTTAAATTTTCTACATATATTCACCCGAGAAGATTAATTTTAATGGTGTTAATTCTCCTGACTATTGCTATCCAGGTTTTTCACTTTCAGTGTAACATCTTATCATCTATGACATAGCTAGACCATTTTTAATTGTAATTTTTTAAAATTTATATAAAAAATAATTTAATTTGATTTAATAATTTTCAAAATTTATATTTTCAGCTCAAAGCACTGCTGTATGAGCACATAATAACAAAGCAAATATAGTTGATGTAAATTCTTGGTCTTTTTTTATCTGTCTAAAAACAAACAGTCAGGTCAGATTAGCTTTGGATTTTGCGCATTGGAACATCTCCTGCTGATGCACATGTGTGGACATATGTTGTATTTACTCATACGCACATAAAGGTTCAGTAGACTTCCACACAGACAAAAGCAAGATTACTCGCCTGACAGTGCAAGCTCTTAAGCTGATTTATTAACATAAATGCAAATCTCTGGAATACAAACCGTCATCTGTTTGCATGCTGCATGGTCAAAGTAGGCCACAAACAAACAGACCTTTTCTTTTTTTTTTCTTTTTAATCTTCAAACAATTCACTGTTGCATCAGTATGTTAAAGACACTTGTGGACACATACAAAAGGACAGCATGAGACATCCACGCTAAGGCTTTTCCTTGCATAGCTGGATTATTATTCCCTCTGACATTCATTCAGTCCCACAAATGCACATAAATGTGCGCACACATACATTTGTGCTTGTGTAGACCATCTGCTGACCGTGTTATGTAACAACTCCACGTGCCTTGGGCTCAGGCTGCTCTTCCTGAGCAAAAAGCTCACCATGTCAGGATTGGACAGAATTGTCCCTGCTCTGCATACTTCTTCAGTCTGAGGCTTGGCCTGGAGTCATGTATTATTCAGCCTGACCATGAATAACCTTTGTTGTTGTCATTCAGAGTGCAGATTTCATTTTTTAGGGCTTTCTATCTTAAAGCTAATCTCCTTTTGAAATTAAATCATCAGTCTGTCTTTGCTGTTCTGGAACCTTTTCACTTAAGCCCCTTAATATATCAGACCATTATGCTCTTTCCCTTTTAAAGTTGCTCTTCATCTTGAAATCAGTTATTTACTGCACCGACTTTGTTTTTTTCTTTCTACACCTCTCTTTCCTTTTACTTCATTCTTTCATCTCCTGTTTGCCCTCCACCGTTCTACCTAAATATGGCATTGCATCCAATTTGGTGGAGACAGCAAATGTATCACTTTCGTGTTTCTTGTTCAGCATATGCCCTGAATTATATACTCCAATCAGCCTCATTCATCACAAAAATGGGGCTTGATAATAATGAGTGTCTAAGAACTCTGAACATATGCTGTCCTTTGTGCTTGGCAAAACATTGCTTAGTTGATAAATTTCTGTTGTCGTTGCAAGAGTTTACATCGATCTCGCTCTGCAGGTCAGGTTACCACAGTGACCAGCTAATGCTGACATACAATATTAATATACTGCAGTATAGGGGCACTTCTGAAAAGAGTTGCCATTTATGCTCTCATAAGATTGGCAAAAAAAAGTAGAGTGCGATCTATCTGTTCATAGCCTTGCTATTTCAATTATACTAGTATGAAAAATAGAGTTGTGGTAGGTTTTGTAATGATACATACTTGGAATGAGAAAATGGAAAGCACCTGAATGCTCTAAAATATCAAACTTTTAAAAAAAGAAAAGGAAAAAGTGGAATAATTTGTACAACTCCATGTTTGCAAGGCAGAAAGCAAGCACTTGACTCATATTTACCCTCACATTGTTGAGTACCTTTAATCTGAGCCTCTTTAAGAGTTGTTTTAGGGTAGCCATCATTGTGTTGGGTGTTGACTGAAGAGTCATTGAAATAAATACTGTTAAATAATATAAATACAAATGTATTTAATTTCAGTAGCCTCCAGCTGCTCTTTGTCTAAAGTGATTAAATATATTTATGGAGCATGCCTTGTTGTACATTTAGAGGATTAAGCATTTTCACCATGACCAGAAACCATATTGGAACAGTAAGAGTCAATTGTAGCTTAGCGTTTTTATTTGCCATGGAGACTGACAAACTACCGGCAGCTGTGACTAGACTGAGAGCTTTTTTTGACATTTAACGGGAATATTAAGAAACATGTTTCTTAGATGTTCAACAGTAGTGCTTTTAATACTTCTGTGTTTACTGACCTTTTGACTTTTACCTTACTGATCTTGTGTCTGATATTATAAACTTTCTGGTTTTATAACTTGTGTTCAGGAAGAGCAGCTGTACACCTGGGCATCTGTAGGCTTGCCCGTGTCTCCTTACCTTTGGGAACTCTATGGAGGGGCAACCACAGGCAGGGTACAGAGCTTGAGATCCTCTTTCCATCAATCATCAGCCAAAACACCAGGTGCTCCACACGTTCAGGTTGGTTAAGTCTTCTCTTTAGTGTTAAATATCTGACAACTGTTTTTCATCCTGCCTGCACAGAAAGGAAAGTGTATGCTCTGAAAACATAAACTTAACATCTTTATTAGATTAAATTCAAATGTCTCCTCTTTACAAAGTCAAAATTTGTTTCTTGCTGACTGATATATTCACTGCATATGCGTGTGTCTGAAAGGCAACATTTACCCAATATAGCCTTTTTAAAAATTGCCATTGTAATATCATTCATGATTATAAACCAAACGCACACAAAAGACTTGAAAATGGTGCACACAGTTGAGTAAAAATCTAGAAGAGACTAAGCTTGATCATAATATTTTGCTGTTCCTTCTTGAATTTCTATTTTCTGTATTTAACACCTTTGGTACAAAAACATATATACAGGATGTGTTAAACTGCTTTAAAAATGAACAATGGAAAAATTGAATTTTAGTGTGCAAAACAGCAAAGAAATGAATACCGAGGGATAGAAACCCATTTAGTCTGTGCAGGAGTGACAAACATGGAAAGATATAATTACTGAACTTTGTATCTGATACATATATATTTGACCTGTATTTTAAATCTGTAATATTATTACCCACATGAATTTAGCTGTGAGTTTTTCCTTGGCCACCAGAGGTCAGGCTTGTGTTGAAAGTACTGTGAAACAATCACACGAATCCTCCCTGTTTCCTAGAAAAGTAAAAAATAAATAAATAAATAGAGGACCATACTGTCTAAATATTCTCCTCGCAATTCAACAAGGCGACTACAACTGGAGAATGTGTACTAGCAGACAAAACCCTCCTCATGTGAGGCCTACTGAGACTCACTGTCTCTGGGGTCAAATCTCTGGTATCCCCTCATCCCTATTCTAACCAATGTGGAGCCAGAGGTCTGACAGAGTCTAGACATGATGAACTTGGTTGACCCTTCTTAACCTCATAATTCTGTCACTAAGCTGCCTGAGTTGTGACACTTTTTTTTCTCACTGTTTATGTAATTGAATGATAATGTGCCTAAGATTTAATAATATATTAATAATATATTATATTTATGCAATTTATTTATGTATGTGTTTATTTGGTTCACTGACAGACAGAATGCAGCAAGTTGAAGTCAGGTCAGTCATCCTCTGAGGATGAAAGCAGTCTCATCCCACTGCTGGAGAGGACCATTGATGACCTGCGGATTAAGATAGCTGTGTTGCAAGGCCAGCAGGCCTCCCTGGCAAAGGGCATCAGGGATAATATGGGAGCTCTGGGCAATGGTCACCACAAGGCCTCACAGATAAAAGAAGGACGATTGGGGAAGATGAGCCAGGAGGTGTCTACCCAGACCTCGCCTGTGGAAGAGGGATTTAAGTTTGATGTGCCTTTGAATGGGCGGTCTAGCAGCACGCCGTCCTCCATTTCACCCTCCATCGTCAAATCTTCAGAAGGCTTTGCCTGCACTTGCCAGCAGAGGCAGCAGAGCAGCATCCAGTCAGGTCTTCCTCCCCCTACAGTCTCTGGGGTTATGTCCCAACCACCACCTCCTCCACCACCACCACCTTTACCAGGGGGTTCCACTGCACCTCCACCGCCACCTCCACCCCCACCCCCACCCTTACCCGGGCTTGGACCTTGTTTCCCACCCCCACCACCACCGCCCCTTCCATCAGGTACCGGAGCTCCACCACCTCCTCCACCCCTGCCTGGTTTCGGACCTCCACCCCCACCACCTCCTCCACCACCGGGCATGGGCCCTCCCCCACCACCCCCTCCTCCAGGAATGGGCCCCCCTCCTCCACCCCCACCTCCTGGCTTTGGGCCCCCGCCACCACCAGGCCCCATGCCTTCCATGATGATCCAGGAAGCTGACCCTGCCAAGGCTATGATAGAACCCCCCAAGCCAATGAAGCCACTCTACTGGACCCGCATACAGCTGCATGCTAAAAAGTAAGGATATGCTGTAGAAAGTGAAGATAGATATGGATCATTTGCACAAAGGTATTCTCTGAACAGTAGAGATTTGAGAGGAAGCTTGTCCACTTAAGATAAAGATCGACCACATGCTGTGACTGCAATAGACATGCTAGCTTTGTGGAAAATGAAAGTGATGCAAGCCAGGCATTGTGGTCAGCAGAGAAATGACTTGAACCAGGTTTTCTTTCCTTATTAAGGCTTGGAAAACTGTGGTGGAACAAACCTCTAGAAATGGAGAGCTTGCTTTACGAGCAAGTGAGGAACTCAACCCAGAATTATAAATGCCATTTGGTGGCTAATGATTTTGGCAGTAATTGATTTTGGATTTTTATTCTCCAAAAAATAACAAATTAGTACTTGTAGAACTGCAGAGGGCAAAAACATGCCTTTAAAAAAAACACAAATTACACTATGAAGTTCTACTTTGCTGTCAATCAAAAAAATGGCTCTCCTACTTACACTGTAAATAATTCCTCCCCTCCATCTTTAGACATACTGTCTCACTGGTGTGGGAGAAAATTGAGGAACCAACTGTGGATTTTGAAGAATTTGTGGAGCTATTTTCCAAAAGCACTGTCAAGGAGAAGAAGAAGCCAATTTCAGACACAATCAGCAAGTCGAAGGCCAAGCAGGTATGATATGTTGTGTTACGCTCATATGTTTGCATATATACTGATATATTTGCTTAGGCAAGTGTGTGTGCATTTGTATATTTATGCATGCATGTTTTTGCTTCTCCCCCTTGGGGTCACTACGTTTGGCTTTCTTCAGGGCTTTCCTGTTCGCACTTTTACTCCAGTGATGGCTGTTCCTTTCCATTTCTCATCACTGTTGTCTCCCATTTACTTTGAGTGACAGAAGGAAATGCTACAGCCAGACAGTTATTATGTGGTGTGAGCTCTGGCTCCCACCCGACTCCCCTTGTGACCATCCAGTGGCATCAAGCCAATGTCTCGCGTGCGGTGAGGAAACCTCACGACGGTGATGACTGCTCGGAGAGAGAGGGAGTGGGAAGGGGAGAGGGGAAAACGGGAGGGAGTGAGAAGCGTGGGAGTTGTATTTCATGATGTGGTTCCTCCCATTGTGCTTTCTGTATGACTGAGTTTAATAGTCAGACTGTTTCCCTCCCAAGTGTCCTTTATGTCACTCCATCAATCAGCAAGGCAAACATTTGATCTACAATTTAAGGCTCTTTTGGTTAAGAGTTTTATGATAATGCACTATTCAGCTAAATTATGTATCTAAAACACAAATAATGTTGCACAGGGGAAGGAAGTTTCACCCCTCTAATTGAGGCCCTGTAGAATCACCAGGCAGTTTCTGCTGAAATGATATGTTGGCCCCAAGCATAGACACTGGCGGGAAATATTCTTAAGTTATGGGAAGGGATCAATTGGAATTTGACACCAAAATCTAAAACTTTCTTCCAAAAGGTTTCTAGTTGATTGAAAGTACAACTAGAACAAATGTTGAACAGCTTTACTCTTAACAAAAAGCTTCTTCTTCTACGGTTTATATTTCCCCATCTTGGTTTTCATCATTTCAAATTTGAATCTTCAAAGTCCATAGGAAGTACTGTCTAACTGTAGAGTACTCCATAATTACACAGCTATAGATTTTATATTTACATCAAAAGTGTGTCTGTCTCACAGAAGTAGTCATGAATGTTGCTGTAGCAGAATAAATGTGAACTTTCACGCTAAAGTACTGTATGGTGTAGCTTAGATCCAGCAGAGCAACTGTCTCGCAACTGAAGAAGTCAGTTGGATGACTTCTTCGTTTCTCTCACTCAAAACGCTGTGTGCAGATGAACAGAATCGACCTTTTGGGAGCACTGATTAATGATGAGACTTCTTTGACAGCCTTGTATGAATAGGATCTAACTTGGAAAGAGCAGTTATTACAGGTGTTGTGTGTAATGATACATCTGTAGGACACCTGTTAATATTTTTTCCTTGAATAGTTAAAATTTTAGTTATAAATAAGTCCAGCAAGTCATTGCTAGATGTACTATTACTGTTACTGTAGCATTACTACGACACTCTAATTGACACCGCTCTGGATATGTTTATTACCACATCATGAAATATCTCTTTTTTTTTTTTTTTTTTTTCCCTAATTGTGACGGGAAACAAACTTACTTAGGTGTGTGTCGAATTCCCCCAATCATCTCTGTGGATGATCTCCAACACAGCCATGGTGATTCAGCAACAGCAAAAACATAGAACTGTGACTGAACCAAAATTGCAGTTAACCTTCAACATATTACATCTCCTACTGGTTCAGCTATTTGCATCCCCCTGTGTGCTGTGAGTGCAACTATTTTGCTGATGAGAGGGGACGAGCATCCTCCTCAGGACTACCACTAGAGAGCAGCTTTGACGTCAGTACTCCTCTGCTGGCATAAGTATTACAGTAGATGGGAAGATTTACTGCTATTACACAGTGTCAACTGTTAACCTTTGTACCTGCAGAGAGGTTTCAGAGGGAGCAGCCTTGCTTCTGACCTTTTTATATGATGTACTAGAGATATGGAGTGAAAGTTATGAATATGAATTATAGTATGTGGTTTACATCTGTTTAAGACTGAAGATGATGAACTGCATGTTTCCAATGCTCTGTTTTTCATCTTAAGAGATTTGAAGTTTAGGGTAGAGAAAATAAAAAAATATATAAATTATTGATATATGACATTTATGAAAAAAAGTGTTTATCTTATTAACATTTAACAACCAAAAACTATTTTGTTTTGTTAACAAGAGATCAACTCCAAGATTTTTTTTTATTTAAAAAAGTTAAACGTCGTTAGAAATGAAAATGAACAATATTTTAAAAATTGAAACCTATCTTTATTTAAACATTATGATACACGCTGAGGCGTTTATGCTTCTGTAAGTTAACTTTTAGAGCAGCATTACCTTCCAAACAACTGGTATGTGACCCTACCCCGACCTCTATTTTGGTCAGTATCATAGATACTTCTATGGGCATCTTTTCTCATTTCTCACACACTAAGCTCTGGGACCCTCCGACACACACACACACACACACACACACACACACACACACACACACACACACACACACACACACACACACACACACACACACTTCACCCTCCACCCTCATAAATCTCCACTGGCTCCTGGTCAAGTCACGCATTACTTATAAGATCCATCTTCTCACTTACAAATCCCTCAACGCTTTGGCCCCTCAGTACCTGTCTGGCCTGCTGCAACAATACACACGGTCTCTAATGCTATGGTCCTCAGCCACGGGTCCACTTTCTGTCCCCCACATCAACCTAGGTACATTTGGGAAAAGAGGCTTCACTTTGGCAGCCCTCATCCTCTTTAACTTTCTCCAATCTGAGCTTCACAATGCCCCATCACTGGAGTCTTTTAAGAATTTATCAAAACTCACTTCTTTAACAAAGCCCTCAACCTGTAGCCTTTTGTCTATTTTTATACTTTTGCTTATTTGCATCCTAGGGTTTCTTGAAAGGGACTATACAAAGTTGATATTATTGTTATTATTATTATCATTTATATTTGAGAACGATGAGAAGTTTAAAAGCAACATTTTCCATTATTTCTTGGAGGAAAGAATTGGGCTGGAGTTATGTTCTCAGTGCTGATTTTTGAAAATAGATATTTATTTATTTATTTTATTTTATTTTATTTTATTTTTGTTGGTCACCAGAAAATCTTGAGCTTTGAGTATCAAGATTACTTTTTTATTTAATATAATAATTGTAATAATTGTAAGATAGGAAATTGCCAATGGCAGAGGATGTGGTCACCAATCTCCCTTCTAATAAAATATATTTAAAAAAAATGGTGATGTAGACACACTAATCCAGCACCATCATAGCTCTTTTATCTGACTGTATTGTTTGAGCTGCTAAATCAGTAGCCAAACTAATAACACTAGCATTCATCTGCCTTGTTTACTTCACACATCATTGCTTTCCTTATTTTAGCAATAGAAATTGTGGTGTTTCCTTTATTATTTTTCATTAAAAGTACCAAACTTGAGAGCTTTATTCGTAACACATTTTCAGCTCTAAGCACACCGTGACTGTTGTATGAGAAGTTAATTAAATGGTACATTCTTTTTACATGAATTTAATCTTTGATCACAGAAACAAAACTGGGTACGCCTATGAATTCCAATTGGGTTTATTGCATGAAAATGATGATAAAACAACAGAACACCAGAGCTTTCTTTATTTTGTATACTTGGGTTGTGTGCATCTGCATACTTGCATCAATAGTCCTTGATGCAAGTATGCAGAATTGCCAGAGGGGTTCAAGTTGTAAGATGGAGTAGGTTAGCAGAAGATCAGCGAGCAAATTAATGTCTGTCAAAACACAGGTGCAACACTAATCAGAGCCGCCACAATGCTCTTGATATCATCTACAGGTGATTGCTTCTTACATGGGTTATTAATGGTATCAGAGTCTGAGGACTCTGATTAGATGTTGAAAGCATCATATCTGATTAATATTTCAGTTTATTAAGTATACCTAATATACCAAATATACCTGAGGCTCTGTTGTATATTTCAGCATATAAGGCTTTACTGATGACTTATTCACTGCAATGACGCTGTTACCTTACACTAAAATATCACAGATTTGCTGTGAAAGTCACTCAGCATCATATCTCGATCGGCATGTTTCTCAAAGCTGTGGTTGGGCTGGGGAACACAGACAGTTGGGGCTTGGTGATATAACTTCCTGTGTGTTTAAGAGGTCTGTGGTCTGTGTGATCTGGTTTAGATGGAAGCATTCTGTCTGGATCACAGTAGGCTACGGGTTTCCTGTCCTGTCCCTTCACCACTTTGCAACCCAGTGCACACTTCTGCTTACTCAGGAGAGCTGTGGCTTATAATGGTCCCCTTGGATGCAGTTTTTATGCGTAATAACAACACTGGCTTGATATTTAACTCCTGACTGTTTGTCGGAGGCAGACTATTATTAAACTGTTAACGTTTGCAGCTTTTTGAGCAGTTTTAATCTCCATGGCATTGTGCAGATAATACTTTCTTAACTTTACCTTTTAGCCCCCTTAAAAAATGTGTAATTTAAACAAAAAGTCAGTTTTCTGTTTCATCAGTTGCACTACTTGAGTCAGAATAATAAGCCTTTTGTGTTTTTACTGATCTGTAAGGTTTTGATTGTGTAACTGGATGACAGTGTATGTGGAGACTTGAAAAAAATCTGTCAACACAATGTAACTCCATAGCTATAATTTTCCCAGTGTGTGCTGATCAATAATGATGAAGTTTTCCTCCCACAGAAGGAAAATGATAGAGAACAGATTATTTCTATTCAAATATTGTCTTTGTAATTCAAAAGCCCTTTATTAGCATATAGTTTTAACAAATAATATATATTTATACAATATACATGAACTGTGCACGTCTCTCACTGTCCCTCAGGTTGACATGTTAATATTATAGACAGCAAGATTTACCTTCTAGTGTTTTTGAAAGGTCGTTAATCATCTTCAAGCCTAATTATGGCGTTTAGCTCATTTCAAATTGACCCCTATGGTTAAATTAAAATCTACATATTACATTGCAGGAGGATCTTTCTCTCCACCTCACCTGTCAAACAGAAACCACCATTCTGTTATGTTCTGTTTGTGATGAAGTTTATGGTTAATGAGCCTGTACGATGTTAAGATTTTTTTTTTCTCTTCATGTCATTATCTTCTAGGTGGTGAAGCTCTTAAGCAACAAGCGTTCACAGGCTGTAGGTATCCTCATGTCTAGCATTCATCTTGATATGAAGGACATAGAGAATGGTAAGTCTTGTCACATGTTGATGACGAGTGCTTTAGCTGGTATAGAGGTGTAGCACTTTTGTTATCATCTGTCACAAAGTTTCTTCAGATGGCAAAACTGTGAAAGCAATTTATTGTGTCTCAACAATGAAGAATATGTAGCCGTTTCTGAAAAGGTGGTACTGCTAACATTTTCCAAAACATACACAGTTGCACATTTGGTGTGCCGCTGTTTTGCGCATATGAAGGCATGCTATTGATCTTTTTAACAGCCATGGTCTGTTTTACTCCAGGGATGGGAAATCTCATTCATTTGCCTGTCATTCAGTCATTTAATTCACAACTTAATTTTAGCTGACACTTTTTAAATTACTGGTATCTTGTGCAGGTTAATTCCACGGATTTTGGTGATGTCTTGACTTTTGCTGTAGTTCTATTTTTAACGTCTGTGATTTTGGGTGACATGGCTAAACAACTTTTATTAAATTTGATACATTCACTACACAGTAAGTACTGGGTCGGACACTCTTCTGCTTTCAGGACTGCCTTAATTCTTTGTGGCATAGATTCAACTAGGTGCTGGAAACACTCCTTAGAGATTTTGGTCCGTTTTGATAAGATGGCACTACACAATGATGTGATTCTCTCGTTCCACAACATCCCAGAAGTACTCTATTGGATTCAAAGCTGGTTACTCAGGATGCTATTTAAGTACAGCGATATCGCTTTTATGTTCAAGAAGCCATTTTTAGGTGATTTGAGCATTAGAGCACATTATCTTGATGAAAGTAACCAGGAGAAGGTGGGTACACTATGGTCATAAAGGAGTGGACATGCTTAGCAGCAAGGTAGGTTGTAGCATTTAAATCATGTGCACTGGGTACTAAGAGGCCCCGTGTGTCTGAAGAAAACATCCTCCAGAGCATTACACCACCAATAACAAGCTGAATTGTTAACACAAGGCAGGATAGATCCATGTTTTCACGTTTTTTAATGACAAATTTTGACCATACTCATCACGAGACAATCTTTTTTTTTTTTTTTTTTGCCCAATTTTGGTGAGCCTATGCAAACTGTAGGTTCAGTTTCCTGTTCTTAGCTGAATGGTATCCAGTGTGGTTTCTGGTTCTGTAGTCCATCTGCTTCAAGGTTCAGCATGGTCAGAATGTAGAGATGCTTTTGACTTCTGATACTAGTATCTAGCATACTAGTATCTTCTAGGTAACTGAGACTTGACACAACTTCATAATTCCCTGTAATTTTACAGATGGTTGTACGTGTAGAATCCCAGTATATCAGCAATTTCTGAAATACTAAGACCACTCCATCTGGTAACAACAATGATACCATATTAAATCACCTTTCTTTCCAATTCTGATGCGTGATTTGTACTTCAGCGACCAGATACTTTTATAACCCATCAGGTTGTGTCTTTGTGTTAATTGGCAAATGTTAGTATGGTAAGGATCTAGTCAACATGCTATTTGTCTCTGTTTTTATTATACAGCACATTAAAAAAAACAACAGGAGCGTACCCCATGTAATTTCTAGTGAAAACAGATTAATGAATGAAAGTAAAATACTGCATAGCATATAACTTTTGTTTTTACATAAAAGCTACTGTGGGGGTTAAACACCTGTTAAGAAATTGTTTAAAGAAACAAGATTAAAAAGATAAACAGACAGCACAGTCAAATAAAAGTAATAAAATCAAAGTAAAAATAATAAGAAATGTGGTCAACTTTTCACCTGCTGAACATTATTGTGTTAGTAGTGTTGTAAATACTACTTGCTGATATTGGCTTTGAGCTTAAAACACCACTGTGCCTGAGAGCAGCCAGAGATGCTTTTATTTATGTGCCACAAGGATGGTTCCTTCCTCTGTTTGAAGGTAGTACACAGTCATCCCCAGGTGTGTTGGGAAGATGCTAACTTCCAAACAAAAGTGAATTTCTATCAAAAGCGTACAAAAGCAGCATTTTGAAACCATATCATCTCTAAAAAAGAAATAATTCTGCACACTGAACATAAGCAAACCCCATTGTATAGATCTTTTATCTTTTTTAGTCTGCCGTGAAGTTAGAATATTATTGGATTTGTTTTTACCAAAGCTATTCCAGTGTTTGGTGTTATCACAAGTTATACTGCTGAAAGGCATCTGAAATGCTTTCTTCTTTAGTTCCTCTCTTCTCATCTGTTTCTTTTCTCTTTCATTTTGCATATTCTCTCCCCATCTAACATGCACATCGTGTTTCACAGAGACACTCTGTCGGATGAGTTGTCACCATCTTGTCTAAGCGGCTTTGTTAAAGTGAAGTCATTTTGGAGATGATGATGGCTACAGATGGTCTTCCTGTTTTAGTTACTCTCTGATTGCTCTCCAGTCTTTGCTCATCTGTGTCTAAACACTTCTCGTCATCTCCCCATCCTATTCAATCTTCTCTCAGTAAAGCATTTACGTTAGCTTCAAACCTTAACTCCTCACGCACAAGACATATGGTTAGGTTACATCAAAATAAATGTGTGCCACACAAACCAGCAATGTAGCAATAAACAGTTGCTCTCTGGGAGCGTTTTATCTGCAGCATCTTTAAAGAATCTGGTGGAACTAAATGTTGTTCTGCATTTCTGGTCTTGATGTCAGTCTTTGGTGCATCCATTTTAGGTAAGATTGGAAGGGCAAGAGAGGGCCACGCTCATCAGTACTGGTATTTATCTCCTATGTTAGGACAGTTTTGCACTACTACATAATTAGCACTGATTGGAAACTTCACTATGTCACTAAGAGATCAGAGAAAGGACATCTCAGTGATTTGGTGGACTACTTTCAAGTATTATCTACTTGTTCTGACATAACAGTGGGCCATCTTCTGTGCAGAAAGAAAATAATCCTGAATGTGTTTTTGAGCATATGTATGTGCTGTGTTATACAATGTGTTTGACTGATTTTAGGTCTGAATAATTATAATAATTATAGCCTTAAAATACTCAATTTCCCTTAAATAACAAACCCCCAAAGTCTGTATAATAACTATGCTAATGTTTTCCCATTCCGGACATGATCTAATGTTCCCTTGTGCTATTAGAGGTTTAAGATAATTAAAGAATCAAAGGACGATTTGTTTACCAAAGAGAGATTAATTTGCCCAAACTTTGTAATTGTTCCTGTCAGTGTAGTGAATTAGTTTCGTTTCCTGTTGGTTTCGTGATTTTGGTCAATGACTAGCAAAGTCTTTGTAAATCTGAGATCTCTGACATGAAGAAAAACAACTTCTGAGTCATTGATTTAGATTGTGTCAGTTTTATGACGGCGCAATTGCTCAGTGAGAAGTCGAGACAGTTTTTTCCTCACAGCTGTTGTTGTTTGCTTTCAGACTTGGCCCACACTCTGCATTTTTCATAGGACACTTCCGTGCACTGTCGGCGTTCCTGAGATGGCGTCAGAGATGGCGGTTACCGGCGCCATGTTTGGGTCAAATGTGATAGTCAGGATAGACCTGGGCAGATGGGTCTGGATTTCAGTTAGAAGAGGTCCTGTGTCACCGTGACGATATGGTTTTCTCCTAAAAAAAAACAAAAAAAAAAACAGTCTCCAGTCAAATAAGCCAGCCAGACTGGTTTGTATAGTAATGAAAACCAAATGGTTAAAAGAAACGAGTGGGAGAAACGGAAAAGGGCAGTTTCTTTGTGGCGGGTTTGGAAGAAACAGTGTGTGAAGAGCTCAGGAAGTGACAGCGAAGAACTAAAAAAAAAAAGGAGTTGATTTGCACTTGTAGAAGAAGAGTGATGAGATTAAAAAGGCAACAGAACTGCCTACAGAGAGAAAGTGATATCAAACTATTTCCACATGCTTGACCATCCTTTAGGTTTATATTTGTTATCATTTTCTTTGATCTTATTTTTCAGCTGTGCTGTAAAAGCCTTAAAACATCCTTCTGTATTCATTATCTAAGCAAACTCTCTGATTCAAAGTTGCTTTAGCCTCTGTGACCCTAGCCTTCACCCCTGTACCTCAGCAGCAATCAACAGATCAAAATATTGTGAGTGATTTTGGGCCCCTGCAGCATGGTGAAATACACATATAGGTGTCAAGCACTGCACTGGGTGATTGTGCGTACAGCAACACCTCAGCCTCAACACCACAGACCCCCGGGCTCTGTTTGTCTTTAAACATTTACTTTCAAAGGATTAATGCTCGAGGGCGCCAGGTCCTCGCGCCGAGACAAAAAGGCGACACCAGGAATTCAAACACAGGAGTTCAAACACAGATCTTTGTACCTTTGACAGGTTTCTAAGACCTCCATATTTATGTTTTAGTTTATGGCTCCTTGCATGCTATCGTCATGAGAACTGATAACTGTGCAGCTTAAAGCACACGACGTGTCACTTTTTGTGGGCATGGGATCATTTTTGTCCTTGTTTCATGGCACCTTCGGCCCCGGCAGGAAATGGTATTCTACCTTTGTTTGTAGTTGTTGTTTCAAAAAAAGAACCACTGTATAAACTAGAGATTATGAAATTGTCGGTCTGTTTGTGTTGGTTTGATTTCTGACTTGTTAATGGTGTTCATTCAAGGTAAAAGAATGTCATGACATGCTTTAGTGTTAACATTAACATTAACCATGTCACCCTCTCTTTCCATCCCCAGCCGTTCTAAATATGGACAATACTGTTGTTGATCTGGAGACTCTGCAAGCCCTCTATGAAAATGTGAGTATAACAACAAAGACTTTGGAATCAAAGCTATTTTATATGGTCACAAAAATAATATAATAACATTTTTCTTTGCAAATGTTTTTACTTTAAAGGAAGGATGATAAAGGATCATGCGGACAGTGGTTTTCAATGAGTCAATAGACCAGTGAAAAGGCAATTTCCCAAGCTGAAATACATTTGGGAACTTTCCTGCCAATCCAGAATCGCATAAATACACAATGTTGAGCAACCAGCCCAGGAAAATTATACAAAGCAACTCCACCGACAGCTCAGGCTGATGTTGATGGCAGCATTCGCACAGGGAAAACCTTGATCTTTTTTCTTTTCCTGTGTGGTTTGCAGTAAAAGTATGAGTTTGGAACAGCTTGCTAGTGACAAATAGAATGATTTATTGTTGCACATTTCATGCCATATATCAATAACAAGCAATCATTCCATTATAGAATGAAACCCAAGAAGACTCATAAAGCAGTGCTATCAACAAAATGGCAAAAAAGAAATCATCACATGTTAGTGTTGTTTTATTTTTCACTTGACTGAGGGTAAACCACAAAACACCAAATGTCATTCATCAAAATATATCTTTCCAACATTATCAAAGGCTGAACTTTTGTTTAAATTGTAGGGGTGAAAAAAATCTGTAATTACATTATTGTGTAGCAACATTTCAGAGATGCCACTTTACTGCGAACGTATTTCTCTATCTAAGTCTTATTCCATGTTCCACTTGAAAGGGGTGAACTGAGGAAATGTGCATTAGATACTAAAACAAACAGGCAAGCCACAAACTGTACTGGTATGTGTGCTGTTTGGCGACAGTGTCAGTCATGTGTAGGTCTGTCTGCTGCCCTGGAAGGGAACCAAAGCTTTTACGTAGTAAACATGTTTTCTACACTCTGGATCTGATTGACTCAACTTTTGTAATGCCCATGTGCAAAGGAAATGATAGTTGAGAAACTCCAGGATTTGTGTCAGAGCTTCGATGTGGTTTTAAAAAAGAGCCGACTACAGTGAGCTTTGCCAAGGTAAATCATATAATATTAGCAAAGAATTACAGAACTGTCATCAGTACTTCCCAATATGTCTCCATTTTGGCTGTGAAGACTTCCATTTATAGAGTAAATACATATTCATCAAGCTCGTCTGATAGGAAATCTCCCCAGCCTCAGTAGAAATGGTTCAGGGACCATTCGAAGTCGGGTCAGTAAATAATAGAACATGAAAATGAGTATGTTTTCCACATTTCAACTGTGATACATTTTTAAGATGCTGTGAAATTCCTGTGAATTACTTTTTGGCACAACTACACAGGAGAGGCCTAGACCTTTGGCTGCCAGAGGCATATTAATAATGTTGATCATGGGAATGAGACTGTGGCTTGAGACAAGCTGTAGTTATGAACCAATGTGTCATAACTCAGGATCAAAAGTCTTCTAACCTCTCCAGTCACCCCAAGACTTCAAGCCCTCTCCCTCTGCTTCTCCCCCTTATGGCCTAAGGCTATGTTATTGAGTCGCAGAGCCAAATTGTTTCTCTTTTGTATTGCGAGACTCCATCCTGTCTGTGGGTCTCCAGCCCCCTAAACCACAGTTGGCAGCACAGTCAGCCTGTCTTTAGGAATGTGAGGGGCTTCTAATGGTTACACCCTCACTCACTGTGCTAGGAGCTAGATCAGCCTTCTCTGCCTCACTCTCTGTTTCTCTCACCCACACAAACATGCTCACAAACAAACATGTTGACTCACACAAATTTGCACGTAGTGTACAGTATGAGGATAAAGACAGATGCACACAGAGTCACTTAGTCTATGAGCTCCAGATTATAGCCACTCCTGTTCTTTGAACAAAAAGCCAGTGTCATTAAAGGGGTCACAGTGATAGCGGGACACTGCTCCCTACCCTCTAATATCAAGTCATAATCTGGCCCCAGACTAGTTGTCTCAAGTTCAGACTTCTTTCAGCTGGTAGTAGATAACAGAGAGGTCAGTGAGTCAGACTCTCCTAAACTTTTAAACAAGATATGATCACCTCAAACCCCATTTTGTATGGTATTGCTCTGAAAAAAGACTAGATATAGTTTACATATCATTACACAATGTAACATGTCATTTGGGGTCGATTATTTGGCAGCTCAAGGTACAAAGTATCTCATAAATGTAGTTTCATTGAAAACTGAGTGACATAAATAGTGATTAAGGCCTGTCTGGCTCTGTTTAGCCCTGTACTAGAAACTTGCGTAATGAATACCATTTGGCTACCTCTAGTATTCTGGCATCACAAATATCATCCTACTGTACTTTGCATTTGATATTCCACATGGGACTGTATTTCTCATGCTAACCACCACCACAACATGCCCTAGCAATTCAAAGATCACACGCTAATGCCTACTTGTCCCCAATTACACCAAACACTGCTGGGCTTCACTGCTGTCCTTTGAAAAGGATCTGCTTTGTGTTAAATATATTTACACTTGAAAACATCTCGAGAGAAGGCGAAGGAGAGCTTGCCCTCACCGACAGAAGGCAGCGGTGTGCAGAATACTAATCTGGCCCTTCGTGCGTTTGATGCTGGTGTTTGATGTTTTCCAAGGATCCATGCCGAGGCCAAACCCCAGAGTAGGATGGAGAGAAACAGAGGATGAGGCCAGATTGCTGAGACTCAGACTTTGGGGGTCTAAGGGCTCTGGAAGGACTAAGAGAGAGTTTACATTTTCTTCCTGGAGATGGTTTTATTGTTTTGCCCCTCTGCGTCAGACACATTAAGATCTATTGTCTTTGCCTCTTGTGAAACGAAGGGGCATTTTTGGCTTGCTTTTTTTTAAACCACCTTGTATAAAACTGTGGTCCAGAGCCTGGCAGCAGGATAATAGTCAGGAATGTAGTCTGGCTGAAGGCAATACTTTTAGCATTTGTGAAACCTATACTGTATAGGCTGGCATATGGTTGAGTTTATGTACAAAACATAATTTGAGAATTCTTTTACACTTGAGATAAAGCTTCCAGACATCAAAAGGGAAGAAAATTAGGGAGGGTAGGGGGTTGTGAATGGCCTAAGACACGCAAATAAAGACTTCAATCCAACTGAAATGTTGCAGGGTTTGAAGTGCAAGAAAACCTCTAAACACCTTGCAACATATTTTTTCATGGATGAGCATTCAAAAGTTTCAGTGAGCTGATATCGGAGACAAATGGGGGGGGGGATGAAAAAACACCAGTACAATTATTTTTGCAAAACTCTACACTCTACGTCTAAGAAGCATCTATTGTTCAAAAATCATTCAACATTCACATGCTGTTTTGGGAACATGTCCAAGTATAACTCCTAATGTGTATTTTTTCAGCTATTACAAAAAGGCTCACTATTTCCAAGGGATGGACTTTAATTTGAATGTATGTTTTCACCACTTTGGAGTGCTGGGTGTGACTCAGAGGATAAAAGTGATTCACGTAATATCCAAACAAATTCTTTTATAAAGCACTTAATACTGTTTCCTGTGCTGTCAGTGTCCCACCCATTTCTCTTACAGATGTGATTTTTCACAGATTTTCTTCTTTAGTATTTTTCTTTAAATTTTGGTTTCCTGACTGTGACACTGCTACCCTTGATCCTTACCAAAATAAAGGAAATACATACACAGATATGTTTCAGCAATATCCATGCATGTTCTCTTGTAATCAAGCTGTGCAAAAGTCTTGAGTCGACCCTCATTTGTTTATATTTTCCTTCCAGTGAGCCACTTTAAAAACAAACAAACAAACAAAAAAACCAACAAACAAACAAACAAAAAAACCAACTAACGGCTTAGACAAAAACTAATTGTTCTCACTTCTTTAGTTGAATCTACAGTAATGCCAATGTTAACACAGTTTGAAACAAGCATTTCTAAAAAATTTCTACCAACAACTTGATTCACAAAGTAGTATTAGCTTACAAATTTAAAAGTTCAGGACACAAAAGTGGCAGGTCTAAAGAAACAGGCCTGGAAAAAAAAAACTCTAGAGCAGATAAACTTCATCTGAAAGTCATCTAATTAAGAAACAGTCAAAATAAATATTCGCCAAAGACTTGACACGGGATCTGAGAAACTGATCGGGAACTTCAGTTGATGCATCTACTTTTCTGAAGCCTCATCAGAAATGGTCTCAGTCTGGTTGTCAAGAAGCCATTCTTAGGAAAGAGAAACAGGGAGAAAAGGCTGAGGTATGCAAACTGCACAAGAGCTGACAACAGGTCTCATGGAGTGACGAATCAAAATTGAAAATTTTGGTTAAAATCATCAAAATGTTTGAATAAGGTCAGGAGAGTACAACACTGAAGAAAACATGGTGCTGTCATGGTTTAGGGCTGCATTACAGCTAGCACTGTTGAAGATCTTGTCAAAATTTATGAAATTATGAACACTGATAATTACCCTCAGATTTTGATCCATCATACAATGCCATCTGGAAAGCATGTGATTGACAACAGCTTCAATTTTCAGCAATGACAATGATCCTAAAGATGGTGCCAGTGCATTTTCCTGTCACAGTATCAAGAAATGAGTGATGACTCGAGGCTTTTGTAGAGGCACTTTGTGTTTTGGCTAGCTTAGTTTAGGTTTAAGTAAAATAAAATAACCTTTTGTCAGCGTCATAACTGTAACCAATTTCTATTTCAACTTAATGTGTACTTTCTTTTGACAGAGAGCTCAAGATGATGAGATGGACAGCATTAAAAAGCACATTAAATCTGCCAAAGGCAAGGAAGATGCCAAACCACTAGACAAGCCAGAACAGTAAGAACTAAATACACCCTCTAAACTAAGTCTGTTCAATGTCTTGCTATTAAATATATGGTTTAAGTTGACTGGTCTTGTCCTTCGTCAGGTTTCTGTTCCAGCTATCACAAATCTCCAATTTCTCAGAAAGGGTGTTCTGCATCCTTTTTCAGTCAACCTTCCATGAATGTATCACTTCAATCCTCCGCAAAATTGAAATCCTTCAGAAAGTGTGCAAGGTGAGCCACTGGCCTTCTTCTCAGTTTGTTTTATTTCATGTCACTCGGTTTAGCCTTCATATCTTCATCTTGCGTGTCTGTGTGGTGTGTTCACCTCAGACTCTCCAGAGTAGTGAGGCCGTATTGCAGGTGCTCGGCCTGGTGCTGGCTTTTGGCAATTTTATGAACGGAGGAAATCGGTCTCGAGGGCAGGCTGACGGCTTCACCTTGGACATTCTGCCAAAACTGAAGGACGTTAAAAGCAGTGTGAGTACTGGAGTAAAAGCAAACATCACTTACTTTGCAACTGCAGATGTGTAATTCACAACAAACCTGGAAAGGACTGGATTAGAAGTGGGGGAGAAAAAAAATGTATAGAAGAGAGGTCTGTCTAGCTTTGTTTAATTCACATTATGCAGTAAAATATAAATAGGAAAATAATAGTTTTAAAATGGGACACAGGGTTTCAAAGGTATTCTCTCCAAGGGGTCGAGCCTTATGACCATAGCTGGGCAGATTTTGAGGAGAAGCAATCGTGTTTGCTCTGATTCAATATCACAGCAGACTCGGAGTGCCCTTGGCACTGCCATATAAGGATGCAATGGTTTGTGTTTTTGTAGTGGCGGACAGAGTAAGGTATCCATAAAGAACATCAAACTTTCCACCAACTCTTAAGTTATGACGGCCAGCCAAGCACAGTTGTTTTGTTGTAGTACTCTTCCAATGTCATGATTTATTCCTAACTTCTAAGGCTGCTGTCTCCATTCTTGTTTGCCCTGCACAAATTAAAACGTCCTGCTCCAAAATGATTAAATTAATAAATAAAGGGATCTTGGTTTATTTATTTGGATCTTTCTCTTTCTTTCAGGATAACTCCCAGAGTCTTTTGTCCTACATTGTTGCTTACTATTTAAGGCACTTTGATGAGGTATGTTTTGGTTCCTGTTTATTCGAATCACTTTTCTGTTTTAGTCTGATTTGCTTAGAAATCCTTCCAGAGCTCTCTTTTCATCTCCTCTCTTGCCAGAGGATACCATGGCTTATCCTTTATCAAATTATTTATTTTCCCTTTCCTCATTTACGGCAGAAACAAATCTCTCTCTACCTCTCCCTCCCTCTCTCGCTTTCCCGGGCTCTCTCTTATACTTCTCTTTCTGTCTTTCACTCTTCATCTCCCGCTCCTACTCTGCTTTGGTCTGGCTTCGTTCAAACCTGCAGTCTGTTCATTGGCACAGCATCCAAAGCAGCGCTAGTGTAAATAATTAGGTTCTCCAGATGAGATGAACTCAGTAGTGCAGCTTGCCAAAATCAACCTGCATGACATGGCTGTAGCACTCATTATGACCTGTCACTAATGCTGATGAGGAGAATTGACATGTGCTTTGTGACCCCGGCTTAATGGTCATTATCTGCTGTAGTTTTAGACATCTTCTCTGGCATGTCTGAACTGCTGATAAGTACATGTCGGTCCCTCAAGACATTTATTTAAATCTTGCCTTGTGTGTAAAGTATAGAGAGGCCCTCTTCCATTTGAGAAAGATTGATTTTGACATTGCAGTGTGTGTGTTTTTGCACATGTATGTGTGTTGTCTTTAACCAGGATGCTGGCAAAGAGACATGCGTCTACCCTCTGCCTGAGCCCCTGGACCTTTTCCAGGCTTCCCAGATGAAGTTTGAGGATTTTCAAAGAGATCTCCGCAAGTTGAGGAAAGACCTTAATGGTACAGTGATAAACTTACATTCCATAGTTTTCCTTCTTGTGGGCACATCCTAAACACAGTATTTACAAAATGCTTACAAGGTTGTAAACTTGGTTGTTCTGTAATTACTGCAAGTCTTATAGCATGTTTAAAATGACACTGCATTGATATTTATGCAACATATGATAAAAACAATGTATGAATTTAAGTGTTGCTTGCATAATGCAAAATAATTTTCCAGACCTGACCAGCTATGGTCATGTGTGGATTGCACAGGCCAGTCAACATTGAGATAGCATCTGTTTGTTGTACAGACAAGCTAACTGGAAGCAGATGTTACTTGTCAGATGTAGACTCATGTTGGACCTGGCGTACCTTTATTGTCGTCATGAACGAGAAAGAGAAATATAGACAGGGAAAGGTCAAGGAACTTCTACTACTGAGAGAGTCTGTTCAGGCTCTCCTCATTGTCCTGGAACTCAAAAATACAAATATGAGACTATTCAGAAGATAACTGCAGTTATTCATAATCACGTTTCCAAAAAAGTTGGACCACTGTGTAAAACATAAAATAAAAACACAATGAAATGATGTGCAAGTCATTTAAATCCTGCGTTAAACTGAAAACAATAGAAAGACAAATGCTATTTTAGGAATATGTGCTCATTTTAAATTTGTTACTCGTGACATGTTTTAAGAGATGGGGTGGTGTGGGTTGTTCGACAACTAGTTGAAGAACCCACTGTTAATTAGAGTAATAACATAGCTGGCTATATAAAAGGCATACTAGTAAGTTTTTCAGATGCAAAGACATAAAGGGATTATTACTCTGTGATACACTGCATGGATAAATAGTTAAGCCATTTAGGAATTAAATTTCTTAACTTAAAAAGAACAGTAAGACTGTTTTAGGAAGACTTAAACAAGTATTGAAACAAAGTCAGATACTCTGGCCTCACTGGATTAAATACAGCCTCAATTCTATAGTGGAAATCAGCACACCAGCTCAAAATCACTTACAAAATATATTGTCAATAAACACAGTTAACTAAAACCACCATACAAGGAAAAAACATTTTTAAACATGATGATGAATCACTGGTGCCAACTCTTTACCCAAACATTTTAAAATGGACTCAGGCAATGTGGAAAACTGTCCTGTGACTCATAATCAACTGAAAATTATAGATGCTGGTCTTCAGGACTCAAGTGTCAGGGGACTGCCTAGCTTCGTCTCAGTGCATAGCTCAAAAGCAAGCTTTTGTGATGCTGTAGGGGTGCATTAGTGAACATGGTATGGATACTTCTCTGATCTGCAAAGATTTGATTAAGGCTGATTAATATATACCGTATTAGGAGAAACATTAACCATCCAGATGACCCATTTTTCAGGAAAGAACTTACTTGTTTCAGCGATCAAATACCCAACCACATTCTGCATGCATTACAATAGTAAAAGAATCTGCATGCAACTGGGGAAACTACATGTAACATGGTTAGTAATGACCTTTATTAACCATGTTTTTCACACAGGGTCAGCATTTAATCCTCAACAATAATGTTTTGGTGACACAAATTATTATTATTATTATTATTATTATTATTATTATTATTATTATTATTATTAGACCTAGAAGTTGCTAAGAGTTGGAATGCTAATTTATCAGCTAAGGCTAGCTACCCTTGTTAGCAAGCTGTATTCATAGACTGCATAGGTGCAACCACATTGGCTGATTAGTGCTAAGTGAAAAAAACACCAGAATTTCACTCACCTAAGCCTTAGTGTTTAGATAATACATTAAAAATGCTCCACATGCACCAGATACACACAGTGAAGAAGTCCAGCTTAATCTCGAGCTGTTTGTGAGAGGCCTGTCAGTCAAAAAGGTCATGCCCCTGATTAAGAAGTCGAGGTGGAAGAAAAATATTCACCCTATTTCATGTTGTTATCAGGGGCAACACTGGTCTAGAATATGCTTTTTGGTGCAGTAAAGAGTCACGTTTTTTTTTGTTTTGTTTTGTTTTTTGTTTTTTGTTTTTTCCCCACTTTGCCTTGGCTTCATTTACCAGCTCTGGATCTTGTCCTTTAGTTTTGCTTTTTATCTTTAGAATTTAAAAAGTCAGCACAGAATGAACTTGAATCAAGAAAAGGGGGTTATGTGATAATTCCACAAACCATGGAGTTTGTGGAGCAATAACTCTTAAGTGGGAACGCAAAAACACAAAGTAAAATAGGATAATGGAGAACTGTATTAATGTTATGTCACTACACATTAAGATCACAGGAAAAGGTTTGGATATTTGATAATGACAAGCCAAACTCACTGGCTGAGTGAAAAACATCTTAATTTATGCAGCATTTAGAAAATGCTCATTTTCATTATTCTTGCTCTAGAGGTGATTTTTTTTTTTTTTTTTTTTTTAAAGTGTATCTTTGAGCAAAATGATGCACGTGAGTGTGTACTTGCAGCCTGATCGACTATTCCCTAAACCTGGTCTGTTCTCTATCATGTTTTATGTGTTTTTGCTGCTAAACCAATCAGACGCCTAAAACGTATTGCCAAATATTGTTTTTTCTCTGCTGTAATGATTCTTTAGGCTGTTCATTATTTGCAATTCATAAAGATGGAGTTGCTCACAGGGGAAACTGACTTTCGACCCCAGTGGCTGTGGCACATACTGGCCATACATAAATACATCATCACATGCTATACCTGCAGACCTCTTCATTACCTAGCAGAGGTAGCTGAGTGCTCTAGCAGACATGGGCTTCGATGACAGTTCCCAGAGGGGTTTTCCGATAGGTAGGCGGCGTAGAAATGGCCTTGGCTGGCCCAAAGGACATCAGCAAGTAATGCAGTGGAGAGAGAGCTTGCTTTGCCTTTTTGGCTGAGGCACCATATGGTCGATGAATTACCACTTGCCCAGTCCCGACCTCGTTGTTCCCTTAAGCGTCTCATGGCCTCTCCACCTCTAAGGCCTTGAGCTGAGCTTGTGTATCTGTTATGCTTGCAGATCGAGCGTAACAATAAGTTTCTCCTGGGATCAGACCGCAGGCCTTCCTGGTTGCTAGGGCTAACTTATTAGTCATTATGGGTTATTATGTCTTTGCAGACACTTATTCAGCAAAAATTCAGTAGAGATTTATTAAAGCAAGCTCAGCTAGGTTAAAGAGCACTGCAGATAATTAAAGCGCCAATGGTGGATAAAATATTTCTGTTCTGGAAGACTCCCCCACCCCCCTTATCTTCTAATCTTTTGTTATTTCAGCATGCTCTGCTGAAACGGAGAAAGTTTGCAAATTGTCCTCTGAAGAGAACCTGCAACCATTCAAGGACAAGATGGATGAATTTCTCAATCGAGGTGAGAAAACAACTGAATATGATTTTGTCTACAGTCTACTTGACTCGACTGTCAGTGAATTCCATTTAAATATTAAACTCAACAATGAACTGCAATGTTTGGATCTTTGTATCAAAAGCTTGATGTATCTTTGTATCTGTACCATAGCAGTCTATTACTGACAATCCACACCACTGCACTAATATGTTCCTTCATTACTTTAAACATAGTCACTGTAGTGTATTTGGAGTTCCATAAACACTGTTCTTCTGCTGAAAATCCTTGCCAGATCTGCAGCTGAATTTGCATGTTAAGTATCAGACCTTTCCATAGAAATAATTTACTACTTTAAGAGTGCATGCTTTAATTTAATGATTTGTGTGAGCCTATGTGACGCAGCTCATCCATCAGAATGATGCAAGTTGTCCATGCCTGCAAACACATTTAAGATCTGTTTCATACCGTTTTACAGTTGCTATACACACACAAAGACTCAGTCAGTGTAGTTTCCATAGGGACCTCTGTTTATTTCAGGGTGTATTGAATAATTCACTGATCTTGTTTCAAGTTTGCCTATCTGTTTTGAAAGATCATGACTGCACTTGGAGTCAGTTTAGGGTTTTTTTTTTATCGTGATCTCTGCCTAATAAAATGAAGCACTCTTGCTCTGACTCAAAGGGGGAAAAAAAGTCTAAATTTGAACTTGTCATGTAGCTTCTTGCTGTAAATTGACTGCCAAGAGGAGAACTGTATAATGTGGCGTAAAACAGACTTTGGAAAATTATCTTTTTCATTAAGTAGACTTTGAATATTACTTGGTCTTTATTTGTGCACTCAGATGTAGAGGAATTTGACTGGAATAATGATACTTTGCCCTAGAGGTATTTGGATGAAAACAACAAAGGGTTTGGCCTCTGAGTACCGTGGCTGTGATAATAAAATTTGTGAGCTGCAAATTTTCAGTCAACAGGAAAAAGCTACTGCATTTTTGTTTAAATAGCATCAAAATCTACCCAAAATATAATCGTGTTTATTTGTCATATTCACCAGATGTCATGAAGTTGAGCTTTTATCTGTAATCTAACATCTGCATGCAGCAATATTAGATTATTGCAGTCTACTTCAAATGTGTAAGACTTACTGGATTTTTTTTTTTAAACACTTGTTTTAGAAAAACAAACCAATAGTCATTATTTATGTAGCACTGGCTTTGACCCTGGGTACATTCAGTTGACTGTGACCAATCTTCCTGAAGGACCCAACTTGCAGGCCTCTTTCCAACTGCTTTTGTATTCAAATGAGAGTCTAATACATAGCATATGTGCTTCAGCAGTAATGCTCACTGTCCATTTTAAAGGAAGTCTGTAGATGAAAGCATCTCTCCCATTTCCACCTCTCCCCATCTCCGTTCCTCTCTCTGTGCGTTTGAGAGAAATATGGGGGCTCTCTCTTTGATGCAAATGATGAGGTTTTTCCTCTGAGACCAGAATGTAAGCACTGTAACATGGACATGTGACTCACAAGGCTCCAGACGGGATTCTTGAGGTTCTTCCACTGCAGCAGTGAAAAAAGAAACAACAGCCAAATGTCTTATTTTTGTTATTTCTGTAATTTCTAAAAAGCCTGGGGTTAAACCGTTTCTGGCTCCACAGTTAAAACCGCTTTTGTTTATTTTCTGACCATGCAACTAACCACAGAATAACAGTGGGAGCGGACTTGTTGGAGCTTGGCTGTTTGGTCTAGCTCCATTTTCTCCACTCACTTCACAAATTCTCATGCATGCAGGCCTTTGATGGAGTCAATATGACTAGCAAGAGAGCACCGGCCATGTGATAATCTGTTTCTGATGAATGTAAAGATTACTAGTATGACTGATGGCATACTCTTGCTACATTTTCTACTAACTGCAACCTAAGAAATCAAAGCAAATAAGCCAAGAATGTTAAATAAACTTTTAAACATCAATGCATAGCACATTATGGAAAAAAGAAATATTGACTTTAGATAGACATGTTGATGTTGTGCAACAATGCTGATGTTTTATATCTTTAGATAACCTTTTTTTTAAGTTTTCCTCTTTTGTTTGATTCTCTCCCATAATATCACAATATCTTAACAACATCACAATAAGATTATTAGAAAAGAGCAAACTATATAGACTTGATACTAAATCATTCGGCATGATAAAGGTTATTTAACAGTCTATTATATATTATATTTTATATTAATTTTTTTTAAAATGTTGTCGCATAACTTCATATTTCTCATCAATTTGTTATCATTTTTGATGGACAATCTGCAGTGACGGGCAAGATTGTAGGCTGCAGAGTGATTTAGCACTTTAGAATGATAACGCATAGTGCTCCTCTCAGCAGGTTTGTCTGAGATCTTTAGATGTGGTTCTGGCTTCAATTACACAAAGCAAGCAGATATTCAACTGGGTAAAAGCAGCACACGGGTTTGTGCCAGGAAAGATTCTCTGTTCCATCTACTGTCATCTGTCTCACAAAGCTATTTGCAGGCCATAGGTCATTTCTGATCATTTGACAGTTTAAGACAGCAGGTTACACATTACTGACCTTGAGGGGAAAAGAGATGTTATCTGGGCAAGAATTTAATGCCTAGCCTTTTGACAGTTATACAGCACCATAGTGAAGATATAGACCAACAAAACACAGCTGGATCGACTCTACAACTGCTGATATATTGAAAAAATGAGATGAAAAATCAGCCCTTGGATCTGAAATTTGATGAGTACTAACCTGCGATGCTTGTCTAACCAAGGCTGTCACATTTGACTGCTTTTCGTTCATATCATAATTTATAACGCAGTCAAAATGATCCTGATGGCACCCCAAGATAAGTGTTGTGGTCTGCTGGAACTGCTTGCTAATGTGCACCATGATGTCCAACTACTCCCTCACACCTCACACAAACGTGAACACAGTCATCTGTCTCCATTTGAAGTAATATTACACAAAGAAGCACTTGTTCTGCAATCTCCACTACTCATTTGTCAGTTGTGCAACAGCATACAATCCAACACTCAATAATGTCATGGCTCGATGTTGACCCTGAGCAGGACTTTTGAGTTAAGTAATGGTGACATCTTGAATCTCCTGGTATATACAAATCACACTATAAATGAAAGAGCTGTCTTTTAAGGGAAATGCAAAATCCGTCTATTTGCAAATGCATAATTTTTTTTTTCTTACTCTTTCACAGCCAAAACTGAACTGGAAACGCAGGAGAACCAGCTAGCAGAAACTCAGAAGATGTAAGAAGAGTATTGTGTGTGTGTCTGTGTGTGTGTGTTTAAAAACCTTTTCCTACATATCTTTGCTCAAAAAATAAATGTTACTTTGCATTTTATTTCCTGGATTTACATTTGGTCGTCTTTTAAGTTTCAAAGCAGTGATTGTAGTTGTGAATTTGAAAGTAAGGTATAATGCAATCCAACACAGTTTGAAGTGATATACTCTCGCTGCAGTGAAGAAATATAATCTTGCAGCTTTGTCAATATTTATGACTCCTGGTTCCTTCAATTACATGGAAGGTGCAGGCCGTCATGCCAGGCCTTCAGTAGACGGGAGGCCCCCTATGCAGTGTCTATGTTGTTTATCTAAGTGGAGCGAGAGTAGACAGCCATGGCTCCAGGCTTCTGTTACTGCTGGCTTGGAATGTGTTCCTATAGCACACTCCAAACAAAGAGACCCCAACCTGTCCACGATATTAATCCACTCAAAATTGCTGCCACATTTAACACCTTAGTGTATGTCATCCGCTGCTCTATGCACACTTTCTTTTTGCAAGATCTGTCTTTGACTCCTTTGTCTTTCATCACTCGTGCTTACACACCAATAGAGTATGTGTGGTTCATATGGATAAGGAAAAGGAGTGATACAGCAAAATTCATCATTTTGGTTAAGTCAGATTTTCTTGCTTTTGCAGTACTAATAGCATTTTTTTTTTCCGTTGAAATGCACGGTCATTATTGTTTTTATTCTTTCTTTTTTTTAGTTCCTCTACTATTAAATCTCCAAAAAGCACATTATTCCAAGATTAGCTATCATATTTTGCATATCTGCGTAGGACTGCCAAGTTTCACAATAATTGGTATAGTTTTCTGTAATCTCGTGTTGTAATGTTTTGGTCTTGAAGTAATGTTTTTCTTCTCTGTCCTCAGTTTCTTGGAGTTGAGTGTATCCTTCTCAGTCAAACCGAAGGCAGGAGAGAAAGAAGTCTCTCCCCACACATTCTTCTCCATTTGGCATGAGTTTTCCACAGATTTTAAAGACCAGTGGAAGAAGCAGAATAAGCTGATCTTACAAGAGCGGTGAGCCATATGGAGATTCCTGTTCCACAATGTGACATTTTCCATGATACGGATAAATCCCTCTGATAGGACGCTTAAAACTTTTGACTAAAAATGGAGTATTGCTGAGATATCAGTCCATTTTTTTTCTTATTTTCTCTGATTGGGAGCCTTAAAATGTGATAACAGATGTGCCTAGTGCTCCTTCATTTTGAATTTTCCCCAAGCTTGAGTTTCCAAACCATTAATAACATGCAGTACATCTCATGTTCACTGAAGATCTTATCAGATTCATTCAAATTCATGAAGGGAAAGAGGGCAAATGACCCAAATCTTTGTCCTTACCCCAGCAACGAAAAAAAAACACATGCATCATCCAGTTAGCTTCCAGTGGTTTGATAAATATGAAGATATAGCTGCATATGTCAACAAAAAGCAAATTGGTCCATTATTTCCAATGAAGATTGACTTGTGATAGTATTTGTAAGCGAGGTCCAATGTCATAGTCTTTGCTTGTTCAGTAGGAAAGAATAAAAACTAATTTGAAAGCATTAACTCTTTGTCCTTTGCCATATGTGGAACAGTAGATGGTAATCCTCACTTCTGCCTGTATGGGCATGCAAAGATGCAGCACTACCATGCATTGAACATGTAATGGGTAAAGACAACAGGCGAGTCTGCTAGTATAAACTGCTCTACTCACTCAATGCCAGCATGTTAATCATTTTTCTTTTTAAAGAGCAAATGAGTAGTGACATTTCTGGCCCTCTCCTTGCTATAGTAAACTAGAGTGAATCATTTCATAGTAGAAGGTCTGGCCTCCTGTCAAACCAAAATCCTTGTGTTTAAATGCCCCATGACCACAAGTTGGATGGTATAAACCTGAAATCTTTAGCACTATACTACATTTTTCTTTTTTGATGGTGTAATGGTGAATTTTAGTGACTCTGTGTAGCTCTATGCAGCTAATTAATTGCTCTTAACATCTTTATCACATGATTGGCATTTATTTCTACTTTTTTTTTAGGGTCAAAATGGCAGAGGAGTCTTTTAAACAGGCCAGGCAGAAGGCTTCCTACAATGTGACACCCAAACATGCAACTGGAATAGTATGCATAACATTTTACTTTTTCTTATTACTGTATGGAGTCATCTGTTTTCTATTTATTTACTGTAATTCTAGCAGTACCTGCCTTTTTCTTTCACCTAACAGACCCAATTGCTCGCAAATGCTTGTCAGTGTTTTAAGAAACAACAATCCTGGCTCTTATAGTAACATTTTAGAGCGGAGCGCCAGTGCTTCCAGCTGTAAATAACTCACACTTTTTTCTTGTCTTTTTTTTTTCCACAGAAAGCAAAGTTGGGTAAGAAGATCTGAAGCAGACAATGGAAAATTATCATCACCTAGCCTATTGCACAAGCTGTGTTTGTACAATCTGACACGAGTCATCAGTCATTTTTAGCATTTATTTGCTCCCAGTATTTGTTTTCAATTGGTTTAGGGCTGTCGAGTGTGAGCTGGTTCAAAGTGTATCGTTTAAACTTGGGATTAAAGCTAATGTCCTTACCCACCATTTCACAAAATGAAACGAGTCTGTGTTATAAAAAGGCATCCCTAAGCTGATTACTGAATTCAAGTTGCATGAAAATTTGCTATAAATACTTGGTGTTCTTTTTCTGTTTTGTTTTTTTTGGTGACACTATGTTCAAGCTTTATCAGTATACATAATATGTAGCCATTTTTTATTGCCGTTTCCAACCCTCAGTTTCTAGAAAAACCATTAACACGTTGTGTTCACATCTCCCTTGATGGTGAAAAGCACAGGATTTTATAATATTTCTATATGGTGCCTTATTGCATAGTGGAGACTTTAAATGAGTTGAACAAAGCTTATTTTTGAGATGCATCAATTGTGATTCAATGATACCTACAAGGAAGAAAAGTCTGTTTACATGGCCTGAAAAATAACAAATTTACTCCTTTCAAGATTTTCATCTGGTGCGTTTCAACTGCGAATTCTACGTGTTTTACATACAGCACCTCATCTTTTAGTGTTTTTTATTTAAATGGTCATGTCTTTCTAAGTCATGTGATCTGATAAATCCCCACTATTGTTCTTTTCAACATTAATGTAAATATGCTTTCTTTCAAGCAAAATCCTATGCAGATAGTTTTACCTTTTGTGTTATGTGAAAGAGTGTGAATATCCATAGGCTAAATCAGCAGTAGAATCATGTGATGTGGTTTTAATGTACAATACCAGCACTGTGTTTTGACTGAATACATCTGACCATTAAAAATAATATAAATATATATTTATTGAATAAAAGACATTACCCTGATTTTTGTGATAAAAATTCTGTTATTGGTGATCAATTTCTGTTTATCATATGACAAATTATATGCACACTACACATCACTTTGTTTTATATGAAATAGATTTAATATATTTTTACATACTTAAAACACACGTGTATATATTGTATACATTGCATTGCAACTCCATTACACATGCTGCAGTTTTTTTTCTTTATTTTTTGTCTCCTGGCTAGTATATTTGTGGAAAATGTACAGTATACAATCAGGTTTGTATCCAAGCAGGTGGATGGTGTGAATTGTTTCATCTTTTCTTTGACATCATCATGTTAATACAAAACAAAAAGGGTAACAGAATACTTGTGAAACACGACAAAAAAAAAGATACTGACAAGCTGTCTAAGATTGTAGAACCACCTATAGATACACATTTTACAAAGACTGTTTTAATTGGTTGCACTAATTATACAGTTGGACATTACTTTAATGCACTTCCTTTTGCTTGGCCATCCTCAGTGTCCATAATGTTCTGTCATTTTTAAGAGGTACTTTCTTGACTCCTTTAGGTAGATGTGATATTTTTGAAATGCTACAACTAAAAAAATGTCCATTGTTAAACACCAACAGCTTTATTATCACTGTCTCTACACAGCCACTTGATTTATTCTTTTTTTTTTTTTTCCTTTTTAACCGCACTGGCATATGAACATGGCTGCTACTCTCTAATTAAATCATTGTTGAGCTTTTGTGTATTTCTAGTTCCATGTTTCATTTTGTTGCAAGACAAGCCATTCTTTGTACAACACGATGCAGAACAGTTCCTCTTGAAGCCAGTCCTTGTTTGGCTAAGTTTGTGAATTTCTGCCTCTGACAGCACATAAATGATGTCATTCCAAATTGGAAAGACCTTTAAGTCCCCCTTCACAGTTTCCCATGGCCGCTCACATCCACAGACATGCAGCGACACTGTTTGACTCTCTGCACCTTGCGGTGTCTGAAAGGGGGCTGCAGGTCTGGGCAGTCTAGCTGCACTGTGAGCTGTGTGATGCGATGTGGCCTACAGAAGGAGCAGGACTGAAATGGCTCCTGGGCTTTGTTGTGGTTTTTTCTTCCCGAGCCTGAGGTTTGGCCTCGACTCTGTCCCTGACTCGAGCTTGGACCCATATGCCGTGGTATGTAGAATGAGTTACACTGGCCATAGCAAAAACGGTTGACCACAGTGCGGCTGCGGCAGCCCTCCTCACTGATTGTCTGACGAAGAGGTTGGGTCTTGCACCAGTCTCTGCGGAGGTAACGGCGCTCTGTCACAACCAAGGCTTCCCGGCTAGAGGATAGCACCTCTGGTTTCTGCTGAAGCAATCGATGGTGACGGTCCGCAGACAGGTTCCCTTTGGACTTGTATGGAGATGGGATGGCTCCCTGAGGACGGGACTTTTTGGTCTCTGCAGTGATGCAGAGCACCCCAGCCAGTATGACAGGGATAGTTATTCTCCACAGCATTCTGCAAAGAGAGATACATTACTATACAATGTAGCGAATAGATGGAGAAAGACATCTGCACAAACAGAATCTGGACATTTACACTAAAGCTGGTGTAACATTTAGGTAGTATGAGATGAAACATGACAGTCACACAAATGCTTACATGATACTAATGTTGCCAATTATGCTTGCAACTGTGAGAATGCTCATTCCTGTTGAGCCACCTTTGCAGTTTAGCCTTCCAGGCATCATTGAGGAAATGAATCCATCACCAGGGCCCCCATTTGTCAGCATCTCTGTGTCATTACTTCTATTTGCTTTCCTCTCGGCTACGCAACTCTTCCAAAAATAAATAAAGCCCTGCCATCAAAGGATACACTTAAACACCCATAACGAGAAGGGGAAGTTGATTTTATTGGTCCCGTCGCTGGGTAAAATAATTAGGGCTTTGCTTACTTTAGTCATGAACTATGCCGCAGATATGTAAACAGGCATTAGAGAGGCCCATCTGCATGTTATTAGGGAAAGAGTCGGAGAGCCGTACAGTTCACTCATCTACTCTTTGGTGATATACGTGAAGAAAACCAAAGTGAGAGTGATTATGGGCCTATATTGTCCATAATCACCAGTGCCTTTTGTACAATGCCAGCACCATAGAGATGGTATGATCTGGAGAAATGATTCCTCTTTGAGTCAAAACGGAGTACGCGCCCGTGTGCAAGCTGTCAGTATTTGCGCCAGCACATTTTTGACCATCACTCAAGCATCTTTTCAGCAGATGTTGCTCTTGACAAGCATTGCATGACACCAACTTAGAAATTCTGACAGAGAACCAAACGGCCTCAAGGCCATTGGCTGCTACTATTCGCAGACTCTTCTTTGCTCTGCTCATATGTTCTCTTTGTTCCTTTCCTGAACCTGCAACTCACTCTGACATGGAACAAATTACTTTATCATAATCCACTTTGTTTTTTGCCTCGTTTTTTTCTGCCCTTGACCCTGAGGTCATGGCAGCTCTGTCTGAGCAGCATGAGCACTCGAGTCTGTATATCACTGTCCCAGCAGCACTTGCCATAAGCTAGACAGCAGCTGTTAGTCCATCTACCAGATATAAAGTATGAATTTTTTTTTATTAAAAAATAAATAAAGCCATACGTTGCAGTTACTTAAGCACAGAAAATGGAGTGTACTGTTAATTTTTTTCTTGTTCAAATCTAATCTGATGAATTTTTTAAAGGGTTTTTTTTGTTATAGTTTGGTTTTGCTTTGCTTTTTTCTTAAGACATCTGTGTACAGTCTGCTAAGGAACTAGATCAATTATATGGCTGAAGTAACAATGTGTGTCCAGATGACACACATTTAAGCCAGTTCTTACACAGGAAATTATGATTTTGGCACCTAAATCATATCCAAATCGGGAACTGGACATCCAAATAATGTCTGTGGTTCTTCTAGAGATGTACATTTTAGCACACATACAGACCATATATATACTCCCCTACGCTCACCCACCATAAGGTTAGAATAACTAAAGTAAACAATCCCACTGTCTTTCCCCCACCTGCTCTATCAGAGAATATTGACCCCACTTCATCTTTTAGTGAACTACCTTCCACTTAAGGACAGTCTCATTTGTCTTTACCTGCTCCATCTTATTCCTGCTGACTGGGAGTTGAAGTGCACAAACCCCTGATCAGGGTCACATGCTCTGCTTTTGTGTCCAGGCTCTTGTTTTCCCATTTTCCCTCTATCAGTCTCTTATGTAGCACCATGTGACTCCGGTGATCTACAGTCTGGATAGCTCTTGGGGCTGGGGAGGGATGACCTGACTGACTGTGTACACAGGGCATGACAAATGACCTATACAGTCAGCAACTGCGCTTCCTCTCCACCCCCAAACTCAGCTGGTGTTAGAGTAGTGGCCCTGCTGAGCTATACCCATCAATCTCTCTGCAAGACAAATTGTGGTTTTGGGGTAACGATTCAGGGGCTTTTGGGGGACTCTGAGGTAGATGGTTAGTGGTTGGGGATAGAAGATGGGGGGTGAAAGAGGGGGTTGCAGACTCGTTGGGGTTTCTGGACTCATGACACACCGGGAAACAAAACCAACACTACTTGGGGTTCATGAAAAATATAACTTCATCCCTCCTTGTGAGCTTTTTCTTTCTTTTTTTGTCACTCTTGTGATTTTTATTCTTGGACACACAGCACCGATCATCACACAGTCCTAGAGGCAGGAGGCGACTGTGGTTTTGAGTGTTAATGCTGGGACAGAACTGAGCACAACCTTTGTGTCTGCTAAACACTAATATTGTCCACAAACACAGCTTTATGTTTTACCAGAACCACAAATACTTTGAATATGCTTCACTGAACTGTGGCAGACCTTGGTTCCAAAATTCAAACCTCTAATGAAATTACAAATGCCAGACACAAATACCAGAGAGACTGCTGAGCTAGACACAAGCTTTTTGGAAAACAGCTATTATCATCAGTGGGAACTTGTTATGTTTTGTTTTTCAGAATGGCATGATAATACCATGGTAATGTTTTCTGTCTGGATAACAATGGGCCTTTTTTTTTCAAATCTTGAAGTCAAATGAAAACAAAATTATTCATGAAAATCGCCAGCCTGGCAGCTAAATATCTTAAGATTTCAAATATCCAGTTGTTAAATAATTGAATAAAGAAAGGAGAATCCTTTCCAAGGCTTTCAAATTTGTACACACAGATGTACTTCCACTAAACCATGTGAAACATCTTCCCAGCACGTCTTCAAAGGCAGGTTAAAACAAACAAAACCTGATGCCTCAATTATTGGTGCGTCAGAAAGTCTCATACATAGACTGGTAAGTGCAGTTAATTACAGTAGAACTGCATTTAATTCACCGTGCAGCTCAAACCTCAAACACACACGGGTAGCCACACACGCACACGCGCACGCATATGCACCCATGTGTGGCCACACATGTGTGTGTAATCACACACACACAGACACACATACAGAGTCAAACGCACATACACAGGATGCAAAGAGAGAGAGAGAAAAAGGGAAAGAGAGGTAAATTAAATGTTTTCACTCGGAGCCAATTACACAAAGAGGAACCATGTCATTATCTGCATTTGCGGATTGCATTTTCCCAAACTACGCTTCACTGTTGGTTCATTAACAGCTGGGGGTTGGGGGGCTCTTTTTAGGGGCTTTGCTGTGTAAATGTGTCTAACGCCAACATCGCCAGGAAGCCGCTTTAGGCAGTTCGGGTAGCCATTTGTCACCACAATCCGTCTTGATAATGACTAGCAGCCCAGATATAATGCTTTCCAAGCTAAGTACTGGCAAGAATGTAAGACAACTTCTTCGCCTCAGCAACATAAAGTGCTTTAGTGGGGATGAAGGCCAATTAGAAATCCTGTGATAGTACACTAGTTGTCACTGCAGACGTTATAAGCTACAGCGATTAACACCACCTTCCATTTACACTTAAACAAAATGTTTTTCTCCTTTTGTTTCCTCTTTAATAGCTTTGTTTCACAGTCTTACATTTATAATCTGTGTCAG